CTTTCTCGCATATCTGCAGTATGCTTATGAGGGCGGGTAATTAAGTAGAAGTGCCCAGAGATATATATACCCCCACAAATGCGAAGACCATTTGCCTAAGTAATGCCTGAGTCGATGACAGGCAGTCGGACTGACTGACTGACTGGTAAAAGTGTTGAAATGTCTGCGGCAGCACTTAATTAATTAATGTCGAGCCAAGCGAACGGGCGAGCGAAATGAGAAAAGTTTCTGTGCTGAGACTCAGGAATCGGAGTTCCAAGGGTTCTGAGGGTTCCGAGGAACCTGAGGGTACCGAGTCTGAAAACTTGGCAGCTATTTGTTAAGTTGCAGCCGTTCAATATTTGTCACTGAACTCATTAAGCAAATTAATAGACAAAGTTGCCAATTGCTGACAATGGAGGTTGCCCTCAGTTTGCCATTTTATTTACCGAAGCGGAGCTGAGAAGCCAAGTTAGAATTGGAATAGGGTCGGCGTGGACTTGTGGTGGCAATAAAATGGCACGCAATAAAAAACCCAAAGTCAACAAACAATTTCAACGGAAGACTCGCAGCGTCTCGAACCCAGAAATCGATTATGGACGCCTCAAGGAGGAGTTCCGTTCGAGTTCTCAGCGAATCGACGACCCAGTCTTGGCCACGTTTTCGATTTCGCCATTCGGCATTCGCCACCTGATGCCAGTTGGTCTCGGCCATCCGCCCATCAAGCCACCCACTGCCCCCCACTCCGCATCCCATTTATCTGCTCTCCTCGGCGAAATTGCCAACGTTGCAGCTCAAAAGCGGAAGTGATTTTCCAGCGTGTACGTGTCTGCCCTCTTGTGTGTATGTATGGGTGCGTCAGAATTTGTGGGTGTTGGTGTTGGGAAAAGCAGTTACTTTGAAATAGAATGCTTGCTTATAATTATAAAAATAAATTGTAATTAAATCGTAATATTCACTGTGTACACATTCAGATAGTTTTATGCATCACTTAAAACCAATTATTATGTTCCAAAAAATCTAAGAATTCTAGTTCCCTCTAAGAACCCTGCAGGAAACGGAATCAGTTTTGGACTATTAAAATACTAGTTGGGTCAAGAAGGTTAACTAGTTCAAGTTATGTCCATTTCCATGTAACGAAGTGGTCCATTTTTCATATGCTTGTCGTCGGAAACAACTAGTCCATTTGCTACTAGTTTTGCACTAGTGACTGTTAACCAATTTATGATTACAGCTGTTAAACTACACTAAAAAAAATATTTTCACGAAAAAACAAAAAATTAATCTCTAAGCCATCAAGTGATTGGATTTCACTAGTACTTGACGATGCCTAACTTGACGCTCTCCTAATTTAGTATCCAATTAATAGGCGCGGTCCTTAGAAAATTTCTGATAATTATTATGTAATCAAACACAGTAAATGATAATTAAATGGAATTAAAACAAACTTACTTTTTTTGAGGCAAGTCGCCCTCTCTAGGACTTGAACCCGGGACCTTTGGATTTGTAGACACATTAACTGATTGAGCCATACACGCATCACATTTTGTAATGCCCTAACAAGGTTTATGAATTTTAGTGTGACATAATTCATAAACAGTGATTTTTCACATATATATTGCCTCGGACAGATTAAACAAAGTTTAAAATAAAACTAAAGCATCACCTAGCAAACAAAAAACAACAAAAAATGTACAGAGACTGGGGATTGAACCGAGGACCTCGAGTGTTTGATTTGTTTAGTGCTAAATTTCCCAAGACATTTACACTCTAGGCTATATTTTTGGATCATATGTGTTTCATTTGCAACTAGTTAAATTCCAGTTGCCTTTTAACTAGACCCTAACATGTATTTGTTCTACCAGTAAAATATTTTTAAGGTTTTTTTTGTCAGAAAGGTACTAGTCCGAGACAAGTTTCTTTTTTACTAGTTTTGTATTAATCATTTTTTCGACTAGCACAAATTTTCTAGACCCTGTTTAGTCGAAATGCATTCAGACAAATTCCGGTTGCTTTATATTAGTTGCATAACTAGTTGTTTTTCAGACTAGTTCGCATTTTTCCTGCAGGGAATTAAGAAATCTGTTAGAACTCGTTAGAAAATTGTAACATTTTTTTTGGGATTTAAAATTGCAATATTTGGTACCTATGAAATAGTAATATAGTTATGTAGAGAATAAAAAGTCATATTCTCACATCATTATTTGAAAACGTAAATACATTGTTGCATACTTTTAGACACCTTTATTAGAATTTTCTGTAGCCTCTATAATAGCCTCTATATAAGATTTTTTATTGGCTTTAATGAAGTTTTATTTTTGTTTTTGGGGGATTTTTTTTATTTTCTTCATGTTTTCGTAAACAGGTTTTAAAATTGTGATTTTATAAATATAACTTTTGCTTGAAAAGTTTTCTAAAATAAATGTTTATAAATGTTAAATGTTTTATGTTTCCAATCACAGTAGCGGTGATTTCGGGAGCACCACTGGCAAGTCCTTGTTGCATAAACCCCACAACCAATATGTGTGCTCAGCTTGGAAAAGGGAGCAAAATCGGGGGCGAAAAAAGGGCGCGGATGGCAGTGAAGGATTTTATGACCCTTGATAGTGGCAAGCGATTTGTTGCGTGCATTGGTGGCTGCCGTTGCATTTTCAATTTTGCAGCGCGCACTTTTGGCATCTTTGAATAATGCAATGGCAATCGGGTTGCAAAAGAGCCGTGGAGCCAACGCAAGCCATCAGTATACAGTATAGTATCTCCTCGACGACAGCTAAGCTTATTTTGGCAGCTTATTAGGCAGTCCCGGTTTCCAGTTCCCCGAATTTTCGCTTGTATTTTCCATTTTCCGTGCTTTTATAATTTCCAAACACGAGCGTGCAATTTGAGCGAAGCCAATCGCGTCATGTGGGGCAAGTTGACAAATATGCAGCACGTGCTCTGGTTCACCAGAAGGGCAGTTTGTGGACTGGGATTGATGTGTCATCTATGCAGTCAGACAGCAGCTTGGTTTTTCCACAGAATATTTGATATTCGGTATCCAATTACGGGCAATAGCGGGGAAAATGTGCTTTTAATTAGTCAAAAACAAGTGGCAAATGGGTTTGGAATTTTAAGCAGAAAGATAGAAACATTTTAGTTTATTATTGTTGGTATTTATTTTAAATTTGTTTATCTTACCTTTCTTATTTTACTAAAATCATGAATACAGGACAAGCTTATGCAGACTAAAAAGCCCTGGTTAAAGGGCTCCAGAAATCAGTGAAATCTTTACATGAAATTGTCCTACCATTTTCAACCGTTTATAAGTTAAATACCTTTTCATGAGCATCAGGTATTTACCGGTGGGACTATAGCCAGGCGAAAATCGTTCGATACTCATTAATGTTAAAGGGGATTTCCATTTCCAGCTTAATTTGCCGTTGCCGGGCTTTTCACTTCCATTCAAACACTCAATCGCATCGACCGTGCTCTCATTGTTTTCGGTCAGCCAGAGTCGAACGTAAATAAAACGTAAATGGATGCATTTTTAAGAGCCTCTGCGATGCATTAATTTTAAACAATTTACCTGGCAGTCGAGCACAGCACAGAGTTTCGACTCGAGGCATGTGCGAATTTATATTTTAAAGTCAAAGTGGAGAACAAAGGCGGGTGGCTGGGAAATGAAGGGAGGGGGAGGGAAAACTGGGGAACCCCCGGGGCGAATTTCCTTGTGGCTGCTGCAGCTGCAGCCACTTCAATTTGAAAAGCATCAGCTCCTGGTTCCTGGTTATGTTCCGTGGTCCTGCGGTGGCCATTGGCCGCTGGCCTTTCCCCCTTTGGCCCAACTCAGTTCACCCACTTTGGCTCCAGATTTGCTTTTCCTCCTTTTTGTTCGCCCATTTCAATTTTTCTAGAGTTTTCTTTGGAGTTTGCAGAGAGCTGGAAAGGCAGGAGCCTTTAAGCCAAGTTCAATGTTTGATTAGCCCGCCTGCCCCTGTGTTCTCTCTTTTATCCCGATCCCGCCTTCCTGTTTGCTGGCCGCTTATTAAGCATACGCCTCGTTGTGCGCAAATATTTAAAATGTCTGGCATTTAGCGACTGTGAAATGTATTAATTATAAAAGAGCCGCGTGCATTGACCGCAAAAACCGCACTCAAAATGGGTAAATGAATTTGAAGCGGAGCGGAGAATCGACATTTCGGCAATGATAAACTAGCTGACGAATTTCATTTATGGCAACTACTGTTGGCCAACTGCGGTTGCTGTGGCAGTTGCAAATGTCAGAGCGATGTGGAAATTAAAGATGAAATCGATAGAGCAGAAGCAACCAAATTAACAGGAGAGATTGTTTAAAAACAATCAGTTGATAAGATACAAGTTAATTATGAAAATCGGAAAATATAGCCAGCTTCTCCTGTGCTGAAATTTTCCACACTATAAAAACGACAAAAGCAATTTCATGTTAATTTTATGCCAATTTAATTTGACCAAATTAAGCGTAAGCCTGTTTAACAATAATTGCACACTTAATAATAAACATTTGCACTGGACTTGATTAAGGTGCAGTTGCATGGACATCGAATCCGCTTCGATGCCAAATCCTGGCTAAACAATCTGCACGATTTTAATTACGATTTTCAATTAAAGTGCGACACAGAAAACCAATTTGCAATTGGCTCCGTTGGCCTGAAACACCCACACACGGAGAAAAAAACAGAGTATTTCTTTGAGCATAACTCTAAAAAAAGGAAACTTTTTAAAAACAAAATTTTTTTAAATTACAATTAAAAAAAAAACATTTTTTTATTTTTATAGAAAGTAAAACTTAAAGTAGGGGAAGCTAGATTATAACAAATTTTAAGAAAAATATTTTTTGACAATCTTAATTACTAATAACTTGTAAGGCAATAACAATTTTAAGATTAAGAGTTCTCATGACAAGATAAAATTGATCTTAACGATAGATTATCTTCCCAATTAATACCGCCCTTTTTTGCACAGTGCACTTACCTCCCTTTTCATCTTTTCTGCCACCTTTTCAGATACTGCTGTATCCCGAGGAGGGTTGGGCGCGCACCGCCTCGTCCAGTTACTGGACCATCACGCCCTGCTTTTGGCAGCCCAATCGCTGCCGCATTGTCGAGTGCTCCGGAACCCAGCGGCGCGCAACGAAAGCCAGGATGCTGCCGCTGGAGCAGCAGGGATCTCTCCTGATTGCTGGACACTTTCGCCGGACAACGGCGATGGGCGGAGGAGCGGCATCGCCGGCGGGGGGCGGGTCGAATGGCACCGGGTCGGTGGCTGCCACGCCCACTCCTGCAATACCCGCCAGTGCAATACGGACGGGGGGGTTGGCGAGCTGTGACAAATCGCCGCCCGCGTGGAACGACGAGTTCAAGCTGTACCTCACCTCGAACATCTCGATGGAGGACTACAACATGGGCTACTGCCTCACCGGATTCGTGGAGCGCCGCTGCCAGGTGACCAACACCTTCCAGATGACTCACTTTGCGGTCATCAAGCGCCAGTGGCCACCGTCGCCGTCCAACCTGGGCAACTCCTAAGGCCCCTGAACCCCATTTTTGTAATTGTGATCCGATCTTTTGTTTCGAAATTGAAGCGAAATGAAATTGTATAAGGGACTGTGGCTGTTTTCATATTCAGAGAATTTGGGGGAATTTATGGGATCCCAAGAAATCCCTAGGGTTTAAGGTGTCAAAGGTATACAACAATGTATTTTGATTACGAAAGTGCGATGCATTCACTCCAAAAGAGTACATTTATTTGAATAATTAAAGAAAATAAATCAAAAGTCACTAGTAAATAGTTTATTTTTAGTAAAAACAAAGTATTGCTTCAGAATCTTTGAATGTGAAAACAGACACTTGCCCAAAAGATACCATTTAAGTTCTTAGCACTTAAGTAGAGTGAAATGTTTGTTGTGCAATCTCGAATAAAAATCAAAAGAAATTTCGAAAAATCTATAGAAAATGTAACATAAATTGTCGAGGCCCCAAAAACCGAAAGCCACTAGATCATAAAGCTTAGAAACCTAATTACAGAAGGGATCTTTAAGGAAGTACAGCAATTGCGGTAATTTCAGGAAATCCCCAGCATGTGTAGTGCGTAAATTAAAATTTTAACTAAATGTGCAAGAGAAACCCAAACAAAAAATAGAAAAACTAGGAAACCAAAACAAAAACTTTACGTGTGCTTTCAGTGTTGTGTAATATGAAAAACGGAAACAAACCGGAACGGAAAATAAGCGAAAAAAACCAAATACTAGTAACTGTTAAATGCTAAATGAAACTAAACCGCTTTGCCAACTCTCACATACACGCATACTAGCACAGGCACCGGCACCCACTCACACACTCGCACACTTAAGCTTGGGCAGCTACTTAATGCTTCAAAAAAGTGCAACAAATTGAAACTTGTGCTTGTCGAAGCATGTGATTGTGAGTGCCCCACTATAAGCTGCTATAGGATATTTACGAGCCTGTATGTGTGTATGTGTGTGCGAGCTGGTACTCTTTTCTACTACATACAAATATGTACTTTAACGGCCATGTTTGCGAAACCTATTGCCTTTAAGCTTTAAAATATAAGCACAACTCAACGCAGGCAAACAAGTCAACAGCTTCGAGCGATGGCCATTGGCACTAAACAGCAGTTTGATAGCAAGCACATTAAAGTTAATTATTTAACGAGCTGTTTACGGAAAGTAAACAAGTTTTTGCTTTAAATTGGAATGTTTACATACTCATTTCTTGTCTTTAGGGCAAATTACCTACATTTCAGGAGACTGCATGGTCACATTGTGCCCCAAACAAGAGTCTCTTAGGGGATTGGTCACACAAAGATTTTTCTATTTTATAGTTTCTATTCCCCATGAATTTGGACTTATAAATAACTTTGAAAAACAGCTGATTAGTGTCTCTAGCCATCATGCTGAATAGTCCAAAACCGAGTTTGCCAACTCTACGCTAATCTAAGGAACTAGGCCCCTAACTCTCTCTATCTCTCTCCCACTAACTCACCCACTGACCCACTCATGCTACGGCTCTATCCCTCTCATTCACTCACTTTGAGCATGATACGCAACGTATATCAACAATTCGTCCAATAATTGGAGACTTTTGGCCCCAAATGCCAAATTGGCAAGGCCAGAGCTCCAATTGCCAAAAACCCTAAGTGTTAAAAAACAATGAAACCAAAACGTAAAGAAAACCAAAGCTAAGTCAAAACTCAACGTATATATATAAATATTTACAAGCTAGAATACGAATCTATATATATTATATATATATATCTATATATTTGTGTGTAGGCTGAACATTTTTGCGTATATATCGGTGTATTTATATAACTGTATTGCGATTACATATACAATAACATTTTTGCTGTAGTTCGCATAGCTCGCTTTTAGGCGCTTTTACACGCAAGCGATTAAGGCCGAGAACCTCTTAAACTCTCTTATTTGCTTCAGACAGATTTCCCCTGCCACCTTTACTCCTAACTAATTGATATTTAAGTATCAGGTACCTGCCAGAATCAACAACAACAACAACCAAATAAACAAGAAGAATATGGAATATACATAAATATTTATTGAGCAATTATGTCTGTGCAAATATTTGTGTCCATTTTAATTAGAAGAAAAACTACAAATATCGGAAAAAAGGGAATTATTTTTTAGAGAACACTGGTAAATCGAAATATTCTACCCACAAACACATGCAAATCAATGTCGTCTCTCCGAATTGTATAAATGTTTTTTAGTGTCTCTGTGTGTAGCAAATTTTCCTGCGCCTATGCTTAAAAAAACAGACAACAGACAGGAGTTGTTCAGCTTCAAGCTGAATGTCCCACACTTTAAAACAAATCGAACAAAAACACGCATGAGCTTTTTTGTAGTTCTATTTAAACCTTTTTAAATAGCTAAAAACGAGTCAACAAAAAATCCCGTTGGGAATTAATTAATATTAAGCTTCTATTGGAATAAGCGATGTAAACGAGCATAATTAGTCTAAAACAGAGATAAGATAAATTGGTAGAAAAAACGGCAAGTAAAAAATGCAAATCAAATCAGATGGAAATGCGAATTAAAATATAAATCGAAATCAAACACGTTGATGTTAATGCAACTGCATAAATCAAAAGAGAATAAAACGTCAGAAAATGCAATTTGAGCCGGCAATGGAAATGTGTAATGAAAATAAATACCCCAAGGTTGGTAGATTGCAATGGAAAATGAGAAATCAAAACATTGAAAATAAAGAAAGAAAGCAGATAATAGTTGTTTCTCTTGGGAATATAATCGGCGAAAAGAGGGAATTTGCATGTTTATATGGACAGGTAAACTATAGTTAATTAATAAAATATTTCCATTTAAACATGATGTATATATCCTCTTAACTATTGGCAGATTTACTCAAAAACCTTGAAAAAGCATTGGTGCTTCAAAATCACTTAAAAGAGGTGTTAAAAAGTATGCAGTAAAAAAGGACGTGAATCGTTCTACGTCCAGTTTCTTTTTTCCAGTTCGTACGTATCGTATAATTTTTCCAGGTGCCCAGTGTGAATATTCAATCATTTAACTCTGCACCCAGCCATCTGCACTTCTGGCCCCTTGGCAATTTTACGGGGAATCAAAGCAGAATCTAACCCCTGAAGTGCGCCAAGCCATTAACTTTTATCATTGTGCGAGACTGACGCTTCAGTTTTGTTTCGTTTGCTCAGCCAAGGACGAAAACCGAAGGACGAGGGACGAGTGGACACTTGAGCTCACAGTGAAAATGCACCTGCAACTCCTGTTCACCTGTTCCCGCTGCGCCGGCGGCATAAATCGCGCCCTCAGTTTCAACTTTCAACAAAGATGTAAGCCAAGTTAATTGCTTTTTGTTGCCTTTTTTCCCAGCTCACTCTTGCCACGTTGCCGTTTCTGTTGCTGTTTCTGTTGCCTCTGCAATGTCAACAATGAAACTAACGTCGGGCAGGACCTGTTCTCCTACTAAACACCCTACCTTTTTAAGCCCAGGACCCCTGATGCCGCTGTTGTTTTTGCAGCTCCGGTGCTTATTTGAACAGCTCTTCACAAACAAGAACTTGGCAACATGGAAGCATTTACGAGCGCATTTCGCGCAGCCATTTTGTTGCCCTGGCTGACAAACGGTTCAGCACTCGGCATTTGGCGGCTCCTGTCACAGGACATGGCCTAAACCTTGGCCACCAAAGGGCTGAAAGCCGAGACAAATCAGGAAATGAAAATGGTAAATTCTGGAGAAGCTGCAGATATATATTCTCATTAAAGCATACACAAGCAGTAAAGTGGGGCAAACACTCCAAATATTTGCACTGTCATTAGGGCCAAGGATCTACAAGATAGAAAATTAATTAATTCATATAGAGGTATAAATCTTTTCTTTAGTTATTCTATCATTGTAATGAATACAACGATCTTAAGATCATTTAAATATACTTCATTATAGTTAAATGTTCAAGGGCAGAATGTTTTTCAAAAAAAAATTATTCGTTCGTTTGAATTATTGAATTACAAATTTCTAAATTAAATTTTTTTAACACTTTCAAAAGCTACGAAAAATGTATTAAATTTTATTTACAATTTTTTTTATACAAATGTTTCAAGATAGAACCTTTTGCCAACAAAAAATGCTTTTTACAACAAAGCGTTGTTGAAACATATTTTGAGATTTAAATTAGGCTTACAAGGTATTTACAACTGCCTTACCGAGGCACCGAAATAACTTCTTTAATCTGGGTTTCCTTTGCGAAATTATACCCAGAGCCACAGGCCACTATTATTAATGATAAATAACTGGGAGCCTGGAAGGGACAAAGCAAAATCGGAGGATTTTCGTTTCGGTCCTCAATCAATTTACAATTCATGGTGTAAGCCCAGAAAAAGCCGTCGCTAGAAATCGAAATCAGTCGTCTGTGAATATTGCAAAATGAGCTTCCGCCTTTTTCGCCTTGGCTCCCAACTTCCGGCAACAATTTCCGTTTCCTCATTACCTTATTTTTTCATCGCCGAAGTCAGGACTTTTGCGAAAAGCCTTGAAGGTCCTGGGGGCGTGTTCCCGCTTCCCGCCCATCGCCTCCCGCCTCCCGCCTCCCGCCTCCCGCCTCCTGCCATATGACAATTTATTACGCTGGGAGCTTCGATTTAAATTGCTTGACAATTATTACACAATGACGAAGGACGACGGCGAATGAAAAATGTTCCCGTTCGACAATTTACCCAGAACGCCCCCCAAGAATCTCCTCATTTACCCCCCCGCCCAGAATTAATGATGGCAAATTTGCAAAGTTCACAAATTTCTTATTAGTAGTCCATGGCTGAGGAAGTCGGGTTTCCCCATTTTCCCAGCATTTCCCTCGCATTTTCCCACCCTCACGGGTTCATATTTCATTTTAGGCAGTTAGTTTTCCTGCAGAGGAAAATGCGGATGAGGTGAATGGTAAAACGGTTCACCTCCTTGTGGTTTTAAGTTTTCGCACATTTGCCACCAGGCAGAGCGAATTTCCCAAGCGCTCTAATTTGAATTTTAATTGAGGTTCTCTTTGTGGTTTCCTTGTTTTTTCGTGCTCAGTTTTTTCCTGTTTGTTTGCTTGGTTGCTTGCTTTGAAAATTAATAATAATTATAAATAATTGATATGCCGAGCAGGTTTTCTTTTGGCTCTTCTGCGGAAATGAAAATACGTGCCTGAGATTAATCTACATATAGAAGTATCCTGATTATGATTTATTTAAAAAAATTACTTTAAAAATCAGCCAAATTTTCTTTATGACTCACTAAGTGGAATTTATTTGGCGCTTTAGCCCTCAATTGAAGTCCCTTTGTGAATGTTTGACAGCGGCAATAAATGAAAAATAAATGTTTATACGATGCGGAATCAAATCAAAGTGAAAATCTTGTATATTTCATATGTACAATACACAAAAAAGTGGACACGTAAATCATAAAAAAATAAAGAATCAAACTCAATATGCAAATGTCAAACAAATAAAAATTGGAAAAGGCACCGGATTGCAAAATATACATATATATATATTTATCTGCTCTGATTTATCCACCGGCTGCTGTGTGTGAAACATTGCTGTAAATATAAATTTAATTGCATGAAACAAAATACGCAAAAAAGCCTTCCGCCATTCAATTGGCAAGGTTTGCTCTGCGGGCGAGATGCAATTATTTTCGCAGGCAGCCATAGAAATTGTAAATTGAAATTCGAACGCTTTATTGCATATTATTTTATTAAGCCCGCTCACCAAGGAAAACACAACAAGTGGAGCCACGTGGCTTAATATGATTGGAAAATGTTGAGCTGCTCTTAAATCAATTTAATAGACAAAAGCATGAATTAAAATGTTAAGGAATTATAGAGTAAAAATAATGCTGCAAATCATTGTGAAACGTTTTAAATCATGTAATAATGGAGTACCATGGAACACCTGCTATTTTATTCACAATATAAGCTGGCTCATCCCACCCATTTAGGTAAATATGGAATTAATTAAAAGTGCAATCCTCATTAAATGCCAGGAGGTATTTTCTCGGAGACCGAATGCCAGACAACATCTCGCATTTCATTTGACCAGAAAGTCTGGCGATGAATGATGAAGACGACGTTGATGATGACATTATCTCATGCTCATTGAACGCAAATGTGGCGTGCACCCCATAAAAGAGCCAACAAAAGGTGGGAGGAGAAAAAATGTAAGAATAGTAACCAGAACTTTGGATAGCGAAATAGAAATACCCTTTATTTTGTTTCTATAAATATTAAATAAAAGTATTTTTCGGAGAAGACATATTAAATATTTAGTGCAGTAAACAAAACCATTGCAAAAAATAAAAAATTAAATTAAGATTTATCAAGTCATTGATATGTTGTATTTGCTTACAAGTTTTATTAGTCATTTCCTAACAATTTCATAACAAAAGTATAACAAACTACAAGATTTAAAACCAGTCAAATACATTTTATAGAGTAACAAGAAGACTCAGTTTGACCAAAAACCAGAATATGAACATGAAAACATTTTTGACGACTGAATGCCCCATTCATTTCCCTTCCCTTTCCCATTTCCACCCAACCCTTCGCCTGGTTACCTGATGTCACTCATTGTGCAGTGAATTGTTTTGAAAGGCTTTTGTATCTTGCAATGAAATGAAAGTGGAGCTCTGAATGTGGCTTCATTTCTGGGTAGAATGCAAAGTCAAAATACGGTTTTACGGATAAAATCAAAACATGTGAGCTATTGAATATCTCAACAGATTAAGAAATGCAATATTTGTTATTTGTCAGTTCAGTGCCCCTCATTTCCTCGCCTTAGTTTTTGGGCAAACGAATTAGGTTAAAGCGCTTAGGGCGCATTTAAATTAACTTTAATGGCGGCGCTCGTTCAGAAGTCCTTCGGGAACTTCAGCTCACAGCTCACGGGCCCCTCGAAAAGCCACATTTACGCCAAGTACTTAACAACTTTAATGAGCAGGGGATAGAAAAAGAAAGGAGATGGAGCTGCAGTCGAAGTTGTTGCGGAAAAAAACCTGCTACATTGGGGGAGGATCCAAAGTAGCCAGCGCGCACTTAATACTAATGGCTGTCATTATCCTTTATCCTTTGGCTGTCGCAACAACTGTCTATCCACTATCCCTCTCACTCCCACCCAATTCGGCCATTTTGGCCCTTTGTTTGCACGCACATTTATTAGGCAAACCAAAGCGCAAACTTCCCGCTGCCAAAAAAAAACCCCAAAAACTTGGTAAAAACAAAGAAAAAAATTAACTTAACTCAATTTACAAAAAACTTTTATTTCTATTTTTTCTCGCTTGTTTTGTTGGCTGTTGACAAAAAAAAGGGAGGAAAACGAAAACGAATTAAGCGCCAGGCCAGGGCAAACTTTAAGTAGCTTTTGTGCGAGAAAGTATTAAAATCGCTTTTTCAAATGGCTTCCAAGAAAAGTGGAAGTGGAAGTGGGCAGGGAATCTGTGCACAAAAGTAAGTGGCCAAAGGGATTCCGCAGCCAGCCAAGTGTCCTTGAATCATATTTACTTAACTCGATGCTGGCTTTTGGCATGTCTTCTCTACCAAAGTTATTCCTCTTTTTATATTCATTTGTTACACAGATAAAAAATATAACAATTAATTTGATATTCACAGCTTTCATCAATATAACCTTTAAAAAATGTAAGCTAAATATTACGGTTTTTATTTACTTGTGATCTCTCAATTCAAAAATGGTCGAATTTCATCAGAAGCAATATATTTTCATATGATTTTTCTCATCGGTGCAGCATTTTCCATTCTCTTTTAAGTAAAAATGAATTTCCATAAGACTGGCGTACACACTTGGCTCTGCAACTTCGTAGCTTAAAACGCTTAATATGTGATGAGATCCATTTCAACAAGGCTCTAAAAGTTTTGCGGTTTCGGGTCAAGTTGGCATTCAGTTTTTATCAAGAAGCTGCAGATTGAAAAGTTTACATGGCATCCAATGGTTTAACTTTACGTTGCAAATAACAGAATTTTTTGGCCATTTGACCGCACTCTATTATTGCCTTGCCAGAAATTTCTGGCCAGAGAAACCACAGCTACAACTCTCCGATCCGTTCCATTATTTCGGGGACAGGGCACACACATATATATATAACTATCTATGCTGTGTAATAATTTCACACGCTCTGTGTCGCGGTCGTTTTAATTAGCACGATTGCATTTTCAACACGTCCAAGCCATTCGGATTGTAAATCACATAGGCCGCCCAACATGTGCTGTCCACTGCCAGTCAGTCATTCAGTCAGTCATTCACTCACTCGGTCAGTCGCTCATTATACATGATATGTACTCAAACGTTGGTACATATTTGATTTCGTCTCCGTATGCATTGTGCAGCAGATTGCGGTTTGGCGCTCTTCACATCACCGCTGTCATGGCGACCATATAGAATAGTAAAGCGCCAAATCGACGAAAGGCTGGGAGTAAATTAATCCAGCTAATTAGAACATAAGGGTCGCTGGAAACTACAGTATCTTGTTTTAATTGGGTTTGGTGATAATTAGGTTGGTATTACGAACATTTTAATGACGCATAAATGTCTCAAGTTTCAGGGGCTGAGAAACTCAAATGTGAAGTATAGTTTCTAGTTTCATTTAATGTAGCTCCTTCACTTAAAGATTAACAAGAAAACTTTTCAATATCGCTAAAAGTGAATAGAGACTAGCTTAAAAATTTATTTTTGTAAAACTAAGGCTAAAAGAAATATTGTCATGAATTAAGTAAATTTACTTTAGTTTACAAAAATTTCACCTAGAAGCAGATAACACTGTGCAGCATTTTTAGTGCTTTTTAAAATTACCTCGATGGATGCTATATTTTTGGATTCGTTACGAATTCCCAAGATAAACTGCGTTTTCAAAAAAGTTCCCCGACGCAAGGATTCTTAGCAAAAGGACCCCAAAGTTCGAAAAATGCAGAAATTGGCCAACTTTCCGGAGCTCTCAGAGGCAAACGGATTCATAGTTTGATTCGATGCTAGAGTTTTTTAAAAGATACACTCTTTATCTTTTAAGCCCCATACTTAAAATAATTTTAGGATTTTTTTTAAGGCAGAAATAGATTCCAGAAAACATAGTCAAAAAACTTAAAAACATACAGCTGCGGTCAAAATAGTATTAGTGTTGCCGCCCTGTGTTTTTAAAAGTTTGTTGTTGTAATTCATTTTCTTCTGGTAATATTGTATTGATTATAATTGTACTATTAGACTAATTGGATAAGAAAAGTGACAACAAAAAACTTTTAAAAACACATGACGGCAACACTACTACTATTTTGACCGCAGCTGTATGCTTTTATGTTTTTTGACTATGTTTTCTAAAACTTGTTTCTCCCTTAATAAAAATCCTAAAATTATTCTAAGTATGGGGTTTGAAAGATAAAGAGTGTATCTTTTAAAAAACTTTAGCATCTAACCAAACCATGAATCCGTTTGCCTCTGAGAGCTTTGGAAAGTTGGCCAATTTCTGAATTTTACGAACTTTGAGGTCCTTTTGCTAAGAATCCTTGCGTCGGGGAACTTTTTGGAAAACGCAGTTTAACTTTGGAATTCGTAACAAATCCAAAAATATAGTATCCATCGAGGTAAATTTTTGATGCTGCATAGTGTAATTTTTCCGAATATTTTTCGAGCGTACCAAAATGCATATTTAAATGAAAACAACTAAGTATTATTCCAAATTTTTTATTTTGTAAGCCCAAAAAAATAGTTTAATTTTTAATCTTCAAAAAATAATAGTAAGCTTAACCATTTCGGGCAATCTAAAACTGCATATTTTAGCGATTCTAGGCCACCTACGTAGTAGACTTCAATTGTCAGTCAACAAAAGTTGAAAATGTGTTTATTTATAGCTCCCATTCAGAGTGCCTCCCCCTGTCCCCCTTCCCCTGCTTCCAAAGCCCACCCCCTTTTCACGTCCCACATTGCGTATACGCAAACACAAAAACCGAAAGCGAATGCACCGAAAGCCGCAGTATCCATTCGCACGTCACGTGGCAACAATCATGTCTTAAAGGCAGCACTCGGAATCGAACAGTATGGAAAGCAGCTGGGTTTTCAATACAGTGATAGTGACAGTGATTGTGATCTGTGGGATTGGCCTGATCGGGGGTCAGAGGTCGCCGTTGATAGACTCAGTTTGCCAGGCGGTACAGAGGCAGCAACTCGAATGTCAAGTGCATCGCGTGGAGACTGCCGATGGATATAGGTTGAGTCTACACCGGATTCCCGCTCCCCGGAGTCCCCGGTGCCCGCAGCATCTGCGCCCCTTTGTCCTGATGCACGGCCTCCTCGGATCCGCCGGGGATTTCGTGTCGGGGGGGAGGGGAAGATCGCTGGCTCTGGAGCTCCATGCCCGTTGCTTTGACGTCTGGCTGGGAAATGCCAGGGGCACTACCCATTCCCGCGGGCATCGCACTCTAGCAACGAGCGATGCCCGTTTCTGGCAGTTCAGTTGGCACGAGATTGGCGTCTACGACCTGCCCGCCATCGTGGACTACGTGCTGGCCAGGACGAATCGCCGGCAGGTGCACTACGTCGGCCACTCGCAGGGGACCACTGTGCTCTTGGTCCTGCTGTCTCAGAGGCCCGAGTACAATGTGCGGTTCGCCAATGCGGCTCTGATGGCTCCGGTGGCCTTTCTCCAGCATCTCAGTAGTCCGCCACTGCGTTTGCTGGCCAGTGACAGTGTCGGGGTCACGGTGCGTATACTTGACGGGAAACTGGATTGGAAAGTGCTTATAAAGCTGCACAAGTGATAAGCTCTGTCAGTCTCGCAAAAAAGTTATCAAAAAGATTAACATTTCTGTTTATTTTTCATACACATAAGGCTCTTAGTTTTCAACTGCACAGTAGAAAAAAAAGTTTAGGAAGCGATTGAAAAATTTAATGATTTTCAAATTACTCATCTTAGTAGTTTTGTTTTTTAATATTTGATTAATATTATTAAAATATATTCTCACTAATACTGATACAATATACTCAAACCATAAGAATATTAAGTTAAATCATTAAAAATTATGATAAAATCGAGTAAATTAGTATAAAATATTTTGATGAAATTAGGTAAAACTTAAAATAGAGGTCCTTTTACTAATGCATTTTTTATATTTGAATTTAAAATGACTTTAACCATTTTAATTGCAAATAACCTAACCCAAAGATGAACTACGGGTAAAACTTAAACTGATGGCATTTTCTCCGTGCAGCTGCTGCTGAATAAACTTGGCCTCCACGAACTGCTCCCGGCGACGGCGCTGACCCAGGTGGGCGGCCAGTTCTTCTGCACTGCCACCCGACCCACCTACGCCCTCTGCACCCTCTTCACCTCCCTTTACGTGGGCTTCAGCGACTATCCATTGGATCGTGTGAGTACGATTATATATGCGGGCCATAATTTAGCCAACAAAGCGCCCCGAAAACTTTTTTCTTGTTGTATGCAAAAGTTTTTATTGCACTCTGGAGTGAGCCGGTCGTTTCCATTGCACACCCCACAAAAACTCCCTGAAACAGACAAACATACGTATTTTCGGTAGGCGAAAGTGGGGGGACAGAGGCCTTAGTTTCGGTAATAAAAGTTATTTGAATTTAAATGCGTAAACGAGCTGCTCTTGCCGGGCAAAGCTTCCTGGTTGAAAGTCAGGCCAGAACTATTGTGGAGTTGGATAAAAAAGGGGTAGCCAAAGGGAGGCAATAAATACCCAACAAAAAGGGTTAATTGCCGGTTGCATACAACGCGTCAATATTTTGGAAAAAATTAAGCTGTAAAAGCCCTTTTAAAACTTATATTTTCAAATAAGTTTTTGTAATAACTCTACTTAGTTTGTTTATTTCTATTTTTTTAAAACGAAATAATTGATGGCAGTGTTTGTATTCATCCAAGTTTAATGCTTATGAGCCGCGAATTACAATAATTTCTGAATTCAACTAAATATGGTATTTTTAACTGATAATAGTTATTCGAGGTTTCAAAAAAATTACAACAAGTAAGAATGAACAAATTAAAAAAAAAAATTTATTTAAAAATCATCTGATAAACAATTACTTTAATTTTGTCTTACGTTTTTCTTTTCCAAAATAATTTTATTCCTTTTAGTTGTTGGCAAAGCAAAATAGTTTATTTATTTAGAGCATTGCTCAAAAGACTTTATAAAATTGAAATTTCCTGCAAAAGTGTGCAACCGAAAAAGGTGCTCCAAACTTCTTCCCCGCCCCTCCGAAGTACTCAAACTTCCCCCTCCAACCGAAAATGCCGCTCCACCTGGCGGCTAACTAGAGTATAACACACACATTACGTATACGCCACGCTGCCTTAAACACTTTTTGTTTCCCGCGCGCACACGGTACATTTAAATTTTGTTTTGCCGTGAAATATGGCAAATAAATCGCGACCGTGTAACGAAGGAAAAAACTTTATGGCTTATCTGTGTGTTCGGAGTGTTTCTGGGGCGCGTGCTCAAAAGGCTTACCATCTGAATTTGAATCTGAAGTGGGTTAGTTGTTGGTGTGTTTTTGGGGGCGGACTTTCGTGTTGGGGTCACTCCCTGGCGCCAAGTGCCGCTGGTAAGTTATTAAAGTGGGGGCTTTGGCCAATTGGTTGCGGCCCTGGACACTGCGAAGCCAAAGCCGGCTTTGGAGTTTTTATAGTTGCCCAGAGAGCAGGAAAAAAGGTTAGAAAGTTCCCGTGGATATAGTTCTTAAATCTTTTTACATATGCGGCCATAAATAAGCATTTCAGGCGCTGAATAATCCAAGGGTTAAGTAAAGAATGGACCTAGAAATGCCTTTATATAACTCAACCCTAAATCGAAATGAGCAAACGAAAAAAAAGTCCATGGGGGAAAAATAAAAGAAGAAGGACAACAAGTTTAAGAACTTAAATAAAAGTGAATAAATATAATATTGATCTCTTATTTTATCCTTTTTAGCCATGTAGCTTAAAAAGTTTAGACCCAATAATTAATAATTTTTCTAAAAAGAATTTAAATTCTTTAAACAATTTTTACTATCTAAAGAAGTTTCCAATTCGTAAAGCTTTGCAGCTAAATATAGTTGCAAAATGTATTTCCAAACTATTGTTTCCGATTCAAATGTTTAACTTCCAATGCCAACGGATGCCAGTAAATAACGACTTCTCGGAGCTACTGCCACTTGACACAAGAGTCATATCTACAAATATCTATGCGAGAGTCATAACTTCCATAAAAAGTCAACAAACCAGAAGCAGCAGCGAAAAATTGTTAGGCAAATACAGTGAAAAGACGTCGAGCTTGAGCAAATGGAGCGAGGCGATACTTGTGACAACTGCCGAACATGCCACACCACACAGATAGAAGTCCGAATAAATATTTGTGCATATTTAGTAACCCCTGGAACCCCAGAAAAAACCCCTGGAATCCCGCCCACGACCCTCGCAAAGTTCAACACTCTTGGAGAACTGCACTGCGTCGAATAAGATTCGAGTTGAAGCACAAAAAAATACAAAATATACGAGATGTAAGAAAAATAAATGCAAAGGGAAAGGAAAAGCAAAAGAAAAACTCGGGGAAACACAAACAAGCTGGCGGCACAAAATTGCCAGTATTTGCCACAAGTTGCTGGCTGGCTGCAAAAAGGAAACAAAGATGAGAAAAAATGGGGAAATGCAACGGCCAGGCGGAAAATCAAATAAACATCAAAACAAAAAAATATATGTCGCCGCAGGACGCATGCAACGTTTCAATGGCTTGTCATGGCAATTTAAAGTCCGCCCGATTTACATAAAATTCTATATAACTGAAAACTGCAGAGCCGCATCCCCCCAAAAAAATTACAAGCATCAGCACATCGGCAAAAAGCGAACTGTTTTTACCAGATACTCTGTTTAAACAAAGATTCTCGGATTTAAATGGAATTTTAAAAAGAGCTTACAAGAACAACTCTGCAATTAAATGGTTTAAGCTCTTAAGTCCCATTTAATTTGAAATCAGAAAAAAGGTGCATTTCATTTTAGGGAATATTTAATTTTTTTTACGGCTGTAAGCTCTTTAATTGTGTTAGTTGAAAAAATAACAAAACAATTATAAATACATTTAAGTCTAAAAAAAAGAATGGATACACAATCCATTAACAATAAAAAATCAGTAATAATCATTTAATCAGTGTAAAAGGTATTCTTTAAACATTAACTTTCATAATTTAATAGAAACCCGAAATAATTACAATTTATAAAAGAGATTACTTGAAAACCAAGTACGTAGTACGACTTCATCCCCACTTATATAAAAACATAAAGAAAAACATATTTACCTGTTTAAGGAGGTGGTGAAGCTACTTATCCTTGCATCAATATTTCTCTTAGAAAACTCCTTCATTTTGTCTTCTCCTAGACGGCTTTTCAAATCTGTTGGCAATTTCAATCAGTATCCTGCAGCAATATCAATATCAAACTCAATATAAAACTGAAAAGCTCATTGCACTTACCTTAATCATTGGCTGGGGCGAATAAGCAGCTAATTTCAAAACAAATACTCGCAATATAAATTCTGCTCCCCTGCTTTCGCCCACTTTCTCCGCAGGATCAAAGCAAGGACCTCTTGGCCTTTCAACCCGAGTCCTCGCTCCTGTGCCCGTTCATGTGTGAGTGGGCGTGTGTTGGTCTGTGTGTGTGCCTGTGTGCACTTCCGTATATGCTTTGTGTCGCAATGAAACGGAAATAGCAGCCTGAGCACACACACACCGATACACACATGAGTGGTCAGGCGAGGTGAGGTGAGATGGGGTCCTGTTTCCGGCTGCTGCTCATAAAATTTAAACGGTTCGAGAGTTTAAGCCTAACAAAATGGTCTTCCGCTCTTTCTTCGCCAGAACATCTTGCCACGCATCCTGGAGAACACGCCGGCGGGCATTTCGCGGGGCCAACTGCAGCACTTTGGGCAGCTCATCAATAGCGGTAAGTCGGACAGCACACATATGCCAAAATGCACTGGGAAAAATCAGAAGAAAATACTATTAATAATATTTGATATGATAAATAATATTTATCATATTTTATTTGATACTATATTACCAAGAATAATTTCCATTTTCTAGATTTTTTGGGGGATTAATCTCCAATTGATCCTAGCTAAAACCCAAGCAGAAACACCAGTTTTTGGAATATTTAAAAAATATGTCTTTTGGCACGACTTTTCATATGGAGCTAAATTAAACGTATTTTAAAAAAAATCTTTTAAAAAAAGTTTTAGGTTTGAAAGCAAATCAATTAAGAATTTAATTTTGAACTCGCAGTTTGTTTCGGTTCAAAATTAGTAAACAAAAATGTGGTATTTAAAAAATTAAAGAAAATTTGTTTCCAAATTATGCAAATAATTTCCAGATTTTTCTCAGTGCATGCCACCCCGCAGTGGTGGGCATAAAAAGGAGGCGAGATTACCATTGATGGGTCTTTCGTTTCGTCCGCAGGCAAATTCCAGCAGTACGACCATCGCTCCCCGAGACTCAATACGCTGCGATACGGCCAGGCCACGCCCCCCTCATATCAGTTGGCCAATGTTCGCCTGCAGCTGCAGATCTTCCACGGCAACCGGGACGCGCTGTCCAGTCAGGCGGATGTGCAGCGTTTGGTTCGAGAGCTGCGGAACAGCAACAGCCAGATGTATCAGGTGCCCGGCTATAATCACATTGACTTTCTGTTCGCCTCCTCGGCAACCCAAATGGTCTACGAACGAATTATTCAACAGGCCTGGCAGCTGGACGCGGCGGCGCTTCAAGGCAGCTGATGATTTATGAAAGTGGGTGGAAATCGGGGGCAACGAATACCTTGCGATGGCAATAAATAAGTTCCATCAAACGTGCGGACTGACAACGCTTGCCCTTTATTGAAATATTCTTAGCTCGCTTCGATTTACATTTATATTTTGTATACGAAAAACAAACTCAAACGAACTAAAAAGATAAACTTGGATAAACAGACCTCATAAGCTTCATACTTTACACTAAGCAATTGCGGTAATCAAAATGTACATCGTTTGTAAATTAACTGGAATAGCCGTCCTGCGATTCTTTTGCTCTGCCAGGTGGGTAAATTGTGTGGAATTTCGTTACTCGTCGGGGGCTGTGATTTTGGGATATGTGTCTGTGGAGTCTCTGAGGATTGACAGATTAGCTTAGTTCAAAGCCAGCACCGGATTGTATGGCATAGAGCAGTTTTTCACGCATTTGTTCCACGGTATTGAAGGGCGGAAGCTTCAGCAGATTGGTACAGGTGCTGGCCGTCGGCAGTCGTTCCATATCCCCAGCATTTTGAATGAAGAACGGAGGGTCCAAGTCCTGTGGAGGAAATTTAAAATAATATATATTATATCTAACACAACATAGAAGACAATGCAATGCCAACCTTGAAGCCCAACAACGGTGGCCTGGAGCAACTGGTGACGAACTTGAGCAACTGCCTGCGCTGCAGATCATCGAAACCCTCCAGAGCCTCCCAGAAAGCCACAATCGATGGGTGTTCCGGACTGAATTCACCGCCGTATTTACAGTGCTTCTTCAGATCCTCCAGGTCGATGGGAATCTCGGCACCCGAAATGAGTATTTGCAGCTCCTTGTTGCTGAACATGTACAGCCACTCGATGGGCAGGACGTTGGACAGACCCTTGCGGAAGGCGTTGCAGTGACGACGTATCTGCACATTGAGCTTGTAGTCGGCTATTAGCTGCAGGTATTCAATGCGATTCGAGTTGGTCACCGGAATGCTCTGGCCCTGCGGCTTCAGCTCGACAATCTGCGTCTGGCCCAGCGAACTGCTGGCCACGGTGAAGTCTAAGTTTAGTTCACTAACATCGCCCGTGTAGTCCTTCAAGTACAGCAGATTGCGGTACAGCTCGGGATCCAAGGAGGCCAACTGATGAATATCCACATCCGAGTATTTGCCAGCCAGCTTGGTGAGGAAGAACTCGGCCAATGGCAGCTCCACCAAAAGGTTCTCATAGATGGCCTTGCCCAGGATGCGACCAATGAAGTAGTAGTGCTTCTCATAGTCCTCGAAGAGATCGGCGACATTTGGGTTGGGATAAAGCTTGTTGTCCGTGGTTACCCTGAGTTGGCGAGTGAGAATTATGAGATTGGTTACTTTGATATGTTTTAAATACCCACATAAAGAAGCCACGATTGGGATCAAAGGAAGTTTTGATCAGCTCCGAAAGGAATTCACGAAAAACTCCACCACCATCGATGCCTGCCTCATCGAGTCCCAGCGAGGAAACAAACTGTATGCGGAACTTGAAGCGCAGATCGGGTTCTAAATGAAAAATGATTGATAATATCAAGTTGACTAAATTTTTAAAGTAACACATACCATTTTCCGGACGCAGCTTGTCGTAGGCATCCTCGTAGAGATGCGACCGCCTCACCGTGATCATAATGAAGGGACCCTGGAGGAAGGCTTGAAGATTTCCCTGCACCCGCATTTTGTTGGCCGCAACTAAACCCTGCAGGATGCTCACCCGCTTGTTGAAAGCCACCACAAAGGGAATCTCGCGAAGAATGGTGATTGAGCGGATCTGCTTGGTAGACATAGGTGGTCCGTTCTCGAAATCCTCTCGAGTAAAGTCCCGAATGGGCTGGAAGGGACGGATTCCCCGCAGGCGACTGCTATGGGTCAGCGGCAGATCTGTGGGCCTGTCCAATGGCAAGTCTAGCCTGCTGACGGTCCAGTGTGCCTCCGGACAGAAGCCCAAACGCAAGTCGCGTGTGTGAATCTGGTTGAGCACAAAGACAACCACATTGAGTAGATTGGCCCAGATTTGCTTCTGATGCCGCAACTTCTTGTCGTCGGCCTCCGTGTGGCCCAGAACACTGCGGTAGTTGGCCAAATTGCTCCGGGTCTCCGGGAAAGCCAGTTCCACCAGGCCCATGCTAATGTCCTTCAGTGTCTTGGACATTTGTACAATTTCCGCTATGGAAAAGGGCATGAGTCGCACGTGGTTAATGTGGGTCTGGACCTGCAGCAACAGCTTGTTCTCCACGAACTCCACGTCATGCAGGGTGGGCAGCAGGCGACCGAACAGCATGCAAAAGGTGGCCAAGAGGGGAATAGTGCGGTCAACTCCTTGTTGTTTAGCTACAAGAGAATATTTTTATTAGAAAGAGTATCTTATAGAGTATCAAATGATACTCACGCACAACGCCCTTGGAAATGAGGGTCAGTGGAGCCGAGAAGCCCAGTTGAGAGGACTCTGCAGCCAACTTAAACCACACAGCACGTATGAACTTGGGAGTAAAAGCCAAAGTATAGAGCAATCTTAAGGGAACAAAGGATTAGATAGTGATGATGTAATTAAAGTAATTAAATCTCACTTGTACTCGAAGACCGCATGCTTGTTGTAGATCATTAAGTTGTGACATATTTCGCAAAGCGCATAGATGAGCTGACTATTCTCGATGTGTGGATCAAGCTGCTGGACAATAAAGTCCACCCGCTCCGTTTCGTTCAATATGGCAATGGACTCTAGCAAACATTCACGTTCCTTGACACTCAGTTCGCCACTGGTTCTGCAAGTCTGCTCCATATCGTAGTCCAGGGTGCGAGCCGATGGCTGATCCTCTTCCTCCTCCGAGTCCTCGGACTCATCATCGCTGTCCCTGTGACGATGTGGGGCGTTTGCATGGCCGCGTAGCGTGGACTTGGGCAGCTGCAGAATGTTGGGCATCATTTCGGCGATGAGGCGGACATAGACTACCAGCAAAGAGCTCTGTTGCAGGGTTGCTGGAAGAAAATGACGATTAGTTATATCTTAAGGGCTATCAAATACTACTCACCCAACTGCCTGCGATCGAGCACCAGAAGGGAGTTGAGTAGAAACGACGAGAAGAGCGGATCAAAGCGCCTAATCTTTTGGCCCGTTTCCGCTTCATGGAAGAGGAAACTCCGCCGACTGGATGTGCTGCTGTCCGCATCCGCTGACCCAACTATTTCCAGTGCATCGAAAAGCGACTGCATCAGCAAGTCGAAGGGAAAGTCAGCGTTCTGCGCGAAGCAGGGCAGCACAAAGTACCGCAGAGGATCCGTGTGCGGCGTGGCCAGAATGTCGCGTATGAAGTTCTGGCAGACGGCCAGTGACATGGGCGACAACTGGCCACCGGCGGAGGCCCTTTTGGCCACTGCCAGCGGACGCAGCAGCAGCTGGAGCAGAGCCTCGGCCAGCGGACTCGGTGCCTGCAAAGTCTCTCCGTCCAACGGCGGACACTTGTCGTCCAGCAAGCGTCGCAGGCGCAGAAAGTAGTTACGGGCAATCAGGAAGCCAAAGACTCGCTCCAGATACCGGAAGAGCACACCCTCATCCGCCACATAGCGCTGCACAGAGGAGACGGTGGTGAAGGTCTCCAGCATGCGCAGCGGAATGGCCTGGGCCGTGTGCGACAGACTGAGCTGAAGCAGGCAGGTGTCCAGCAGCTTGCAGAGCCTCAGCAGCCACATGGAGTCCGAGGAGGAATGCTGCAGCAGGCGAGCAGGCTGGCGGAGGATCTGCTGGCACACCTCGATCTAAGTAAGGGGTATAAGGGAATCATTAGCCAGGTTAAGAGGATGCTCCAATGATGCACCTTACCAGTCGCTCGCCGTCCTTGGTCTCCCGGCTGCTGTAGAAGAAATTGAGGCGCCGCAGGAGGAAGGTCAGACTCTCATCCTCCGCCAGGCGATTCTTGTGGGCCAGCAGGTAGCCATCGAAAGCCTCCCGCTCCGCCCGCTTGCGCCGCTGCCGATGGATGAAGGAGCGGGCGTAGGACTGGAGGAGCACGGCTCCATTCTCCTTCTGGCGCAGCTCGTTGCGCTTCTGGCGCTCCTGGGCCGCTTTCCTGATCACCGTGTCCCGGTCGCAGGTGTGCGAGGCTCCGCCCAGACTTTGGACCGGTCTCCGGCGGTACTCGCCGTCGAATCCGAACATGACGCAGCGCTTTTGGGTTGTCTTGGTGCCCCCGGATCGGACTGAATCCACCAGCAGCCGTTTTGGTTCCACTCGCTCAGTCGTCGCTCCTCCTCCGCATTCTTCACCTGGCTGCGACGACGTTCGGAACACTGCGATTCCGCGCTGACTGTGCTGCACTTGCTCCCCGATCGGAAATCTTTAGTTTTACTCACTTTCCCACCCGATACGCTCGAATTTAAAATGCGTAAAACCCCAATTTGCCCAATGATTTGTATATTTCTCTTGTATATTCCGATAGCACGAGTTATCGACAGCTGGGATGACTGGCCAACGTTGCCCATCCCTAGTAGTGGGACGTTCCCGGTTTCAGTTTCGATTCGAAAATTCTGGAAACTGGGTTGTGGTGAAATTGATAAAATCGGAAATTTAAAAAATGACATCCTCTAATATTGATTCACAATATTAATTGATGATTCATTTTCGAAACTTTTTTTGCAGGTTTTTAAAATTTTGGAAGTTACAACAAAAACATTGTCAAAAATAACACTATTAACCAAACAGAAAAAACAACTCTTTTTACTCTTTTCCACAATGTTTTTAAAAATTGGCAGGCTTTTAAAAAAAAATTAGAAAACAAGAATAATAAAAATTTCTGTTATTTAAAAAAATAAATGTTCACATAGTTAAGTTTAATACGATTTTATGGAATTCATAATTCCTCAATAAAGCGTAAATCATATTGTTACACTTTAAAAATACAATTTATACCACTTCATTAGATAAAGTAAAACGAAATGTCTACAGGTGATTGTAGACAGCCCGGATAAGCTTTTGAAAAAATGATCTAATTCCCTTCAAGTTACGTCGGTATTGTTAGTACAAAGTGTAAGTTATGTTGTGTAAGTTATAACATGATTAATGGAAAACAAGAAAGACAGTAAATTCTTGTCAGAAATTAAATATTTGTTATCTTAATTCCAGTATTAAATTATTAAGAGTTATAAAACGTTGGATTATTATTAATTTAATTATAGAACAAATAATTTTCGTATGCAAAGCACAACGTTGTCTTTAATATGATTTGAGTTCATGAAATACACATTCGTTCGTAAAGATGAGTAAAATGTTTAAACCTAAACCACCTAATTAGTAGCTTCTGTTGTTTTCCAGTTAGCAACTAGCCTGCTAATGAGAGAGCAGGAGCGGCCACGAGTACATTTCAGAGAATATAAGCCTGGGATAACTAAAGCGAGCTCTGCTGGGCAGCCTGCAGGTTCAGCTGGTGCTGCTTCTCGATGAGGGCAAGCAGAGTCCTGGGCACATCCATGGTCTGGTCATCCACGAGGACGATGTCGAAGGTGTTCATATACTTCTCCATGTTGGCCTCGACGTGATCGAACAGAAAGCCGATCTTCATGATGTGCGAGGAGGCTGGCACCCCGGAGGCCATGTCCGCATCCCCAATGGAGTCGCCCATGACGATGATGTGGTCCCTGGTGTGCACCAGATCGTAGTAATCGCTGCCATCCAGCACGGTTTCGTTCTTGTTAAAGGTGTGAATCATCGGCTGCTGGAAGCCATCCAGCAGGCCATCCCTGAACTGTAGAAAATTGGACACCACCTTGACATTCGGATGCATGACGTTGGCCTGGCGGAGCACCGAGACCACCGAGTTGCCCAGGCCGGCGGAGAAGACCAGCGTGGGAATGCCCAGGCGCTGCAGGTCCGCGAAGAACTCGTGGGTGCGGTCACGTAGCGCATGCTTATACTTGCTGGCTATCTGATCTATTTCCGACTGGTCGAAGGGGAAGCCGCTGGTCAGCTCGCCCGACTTGGTCCACCACTCGATCATGTACTGCACCTTTTCGGCAATGGGCATGTGCGGATCAATCTCGATGGGCCGGTACTTGTGGTACAGCTTGTCCGTCTCCGCCTTGAAGTTCTCCGGCAGCGACTGGCAGGCATTGAAGATCCCGAAACTGGAGGGCACCGCCCCGCCGTCCTCGGTGCGCTGCTTGGTGATAGTGTAGTCAAAGTCCGAGACTATCTGCATGCGCTCCGGTCCGCCGAAGACGAACTCGTTGATGATGCGCTCCACCTTGGCGGGATCCCGCATGCGGCAGTGGTCCTGGTTGAGGGCCGGAATGTCCTGGACCCGCAGTCTGCCGCCAACGGGCTCTCGCTTCTCGTCACAGCCCATCTTCAGTAGGAATCTTCTCGTCCAGCAGCTCAGAGGTCTTCCCCTGATCACGGTGACTGAGTTTCTGGAGGTCTGTACCGGGGGGATTTGGAATCGATCGCTGAGCTTTCAACGGTATCTGCAAATTGTTTAGGCAAGCGATTTAGTAGCGCTTATATGGCCGATCGTCTGTATTAGTGGTTCGGTTCTATATCTAAAAGGCTGACCTTGGACGAGTGTTTTGTGCAAATTTTGTTGCTTTCGACGCGGCGTTCGCAGTTATCAGCTGACTATAGGTGACTCCGATATGACAAGCTCTTTATTTATATAAATTGTGTCCGAAAGCAATAAGCGAACCGCTGCGTAAACATTCAATTTAGTTTTAAAATACGTTTCCCTCCTTTCCGTTTCGCATGGCAAGCAGCTGATTCTGCAGGCGGAACAAAGTTGAACTGGAACGGAAAAACAGCTGATTGAGGCGCCCATTTTTGAATGATGTTGAACTTTTCTTTTTATATTTCTTTAAGGAATAAAGATACCTCAGATCTCCCAGTAACAATAAAAATCTCCCACTTTACTTGTCTTTAGAGTATATTTTAAAAATATTTTATTTTAAGGTACTAACTTCAGAACTTGTGCTGCACAATAATCAAACGTTTGAAATAAGAAAATTAGAAAACCTTTCCAACTAAACAATGCGATTACATTATTTATAACTGCTGCTACTATCGTGGATTAATTATGATACACAATATAATAGTTTAATCAATCCGCAATTTTTTGCACTGACTTTAAGGTCATTGCTAATACGTTATCGTAATATTAAAAAAATAATTATAATAATCGAAACTCAATAAGAACATTAGATGGTGATAATCTAGAACTATAACTAAGCTGTTTACATATTTAATATGTATCCGAAAAACGGGAGTGTACATGAGAGTAGGGTTACTTGGTAAATTAAACATAATCCGAATGTGATGGCCAAACAAATGGGGAAACGCCTTAATCCTCGATTACGATGGCTGCCGGTGACTGTTGAGGCTTAGATGGCACCTGGTTGTTGGTCTGCTCCAAGGCCTGAAACTTCCACTGTGCCGGCAAAAACTGCTTGAACGCAGGATTCTTTGCCACGTGGCTGCAATAGATGGGTTACAAATAAATTAGTAACAGATAATCCGGAATGAGATTCCAAACAAACTCACCGACTGAGAAAACTGGCGGCTGCACCGACAGTTTTGAAGCGGAAAACTCCCTGATCGGGTACCTTGACGTAAAAGTCGGAGCCGTGAATTTTGACGCGGAAGCGCGGCAAACCTTTGGCGCCCAGGATTCCGTAGCAGGGTTTTAAGCTGCATCCCTGCTGATCAGCTGAAGCTACGTTGTTGGGTTTTTGTGCAGCAGGTGCAACTGTTAAAGGAGGCTTGGCCACCACCTTGGCGGGCAGAGATTGTCGTGAGGGCAGGTGTTCCACCGGCGCAGTCAGCGGTTTCAGGGGCAGCGACATGCGGGCTGAGGGCTCAGCCTGCACAGGCAACTTGGAGATGCCCACTGGCGATGGCTTATCACTGGCAATCGTAGACTTGGCTGGCAGGGATTGACGTGGCGTTGCGGTTACCGTCGGTTTAGCATTTCCCGGCATGGATTGCCTGCCGGTAGCATTGGGAGTTGCTTTGGGATACAACCGCACCACACTGCTTTGTCCAGGAACTGCGGGTCGCACGGCTGGAATGCCTTTGTTAAGGGGCAACGCCACTGGACTGATGACGGCTCGGGCCAGAGGAAGTTTTCCCGGTGCCGGTAGAGCTTTAGCTGCTTGCTTAGCTATCCCGGCTCCGATTTTCACCGGTAGTCGCTTGTTAACCATGTGGAAGGACTCGCTCGGCAGCTTCTTGTCCTTGCTGTCCAGCTTGGTGATTGTTATGCCGCCCGGGGTCACAGTATTCCCACTGCTCAGCAGCTCCTGCAGCGACTCGTTGATCCTGTTGTGCATTGTCTTGCCTGTGGGAACAGAAGAACTGGAGGCGGGGGCGGAGGAGACGGTCTCTGGAACACTCAACGACGTGGTCACCTGCACCTGGGGCGTCAAGTATTGCGTGGTGGGCGCCAGCTCGCCATTCTTGGCCGGCACATTCGCAATGAACGGCATGAAGCCACCAGTTAGGCTGCAAGTGGTAACATCTTTGGGCGGCCGCGGTGGTGGAGCTACCGAATCCGCGGCAGTTATCTGCAGAGCACCGCTGGCGGGCATTGTCTGGATGGTGAAGCTCGTGCGCTGCGGTTCCTGCTTGATTTCTCTCACCGGCTGATGCTCCTCCTGCTCGTCGATCACTAGTTGTTGATCATCCTCCTCATCACTATCAATGATCACCACCGGCGGAACTGTCTCCTCATTCCTCTCCAGCTCCACAGACAACTGCGAGGGGATTTTCACCACATTAAGAGCAGTTTGTTCCGTAGAATTATTCTGTTGCGCTGCCAGCTTCGCCGTGGACTCCATGTCGATCTCAAAATGCACCTGCCCGTTGACGTGCAGCACCCAGAAGGCCATGCTGCGCCGATGGCGATGGACGGGAATGGAGTGCTCCCGCTGGTAAACCTCGCGCAGCATCATCTTCCTGTCGACGCTCTGCAGCAGCACGAGCACTGGTGGCGGCATGTCCAGATTCAGAGGGCCAAAGTAGATCTTCTTCTTTGACGAGGGCGTAACAAAGGCATCGTACGGAGCGGCGGGAAAGAACTGAAGCTTCACCACCTTCTGCGTCTCCTCGGCCACCTTCATCACGCTGTAAATCCTGGTCAGCGAGATCATGTCGCCGAAGGCGGGCACAAAGATGTGCGAAAAGTCATCGAAAATGTCGAGCACCACCCAGCGGTGGTCGGTCTTGAGCTGCTCGGGTATTTGCAGCTCATCCACATCGTTGTGGTTGACCTTTCTGAACTCGATGTTGCTGCGGATTCCAGCTGCACCGCTTTTGCCCTTAACACCAGGTGATGCTAGTTTGGCAGGAGCAAGGGGAACAGCGGGTGAAGGAGTTGCAGGGGCAACAGGAGCAGGTTTAACCACCTTTGCGGAGGATGGCGTACTGGAGGATGGGGCTTCTTGGCTCTGCGGTTTCTTCTGACGCTGTTTTAGCAGCGAGTTTGGCGGCGGAACATCCGCTACCACCTGGCTGTTTGGCACTTCGGAGGGTGTGGAGCCTCCAGCACTCTGCAGCTTCTTCTGATGCTCCCGAATGCGCTGCTTCACCAGCAGCGAGCACAGCACATTGATCTTCTTCGTGAGCAACGGATGCGTCTGCGGCGTGGGCTTTGTGCAGGCATTGCCCTCCATGTGTCGCAGGAATCCTTTGACAAGCCAAAAGCTCTGCCTGCCCTGCATAACCACCGCCAGGCGATTAGTGTTTTCATTGCGCGTGGAATTCATCAGCATTCGAGCCATTAAAGGGAGGGCCTGGGGATCGGGCGCAAACTTGGTGTTCACCACTCCAATTGCCCCACACACCGAGGGCATTTGGTTGGATGTGGTGGCCGCCAGGAAGCTGTGCGACTTCATCTGGACGTCCCAAATGAACACGAAGCCGGATTCGAAGGCAGCCAGAAAGTTGGTCCACTTGATGATGCACAGAATCTCCTCGTTGGGGGCCGGAATTATCTTGCTCTCGCGCTGCAGCGCCAGATCAATGTCCTGCATCTTCTTGCTAACCAGAGTGTTCATGTTCTTGACCACCTCGTTGTAGAACGAGCGGAAGTTGGGGGAGTCAGTCTCGGTCGAATTGTTATCTGTTCCAGTGGAGGAAGCAGCTGCAGCCATTCCAGAGGCTAGAGCATCCACGGAAGCGGCATTGAGGGAATAGCAGGCGGCGATGCGGGGCACTTGAATGTCCAACTTGTGGCTTTCCTCTGGCGGCGAAGGCGCAGGCTCTTGCTCTAGTTTCAAGCGCTTGCCTGGACCTGCCTCCTTTGTGGGAGTAGCACTCCTCTTCTGACGGCTGCTGGCCTCGCTTCCATCGGTGGAATCATCGCGCAACTCGATGACCGGGGCCTTCGCCGCCCTTTTGGTCAGCTCTCGCTTGCGCTGCCGATCGAGTTCCTTGCGATAATAGATAATGGCACCCTGAATGCGACTCTTGAGCAGCTCCTCCGTTTCCGGAGTCTCCTGACGGACCGCATGGTTACGCACGCGTTCCGCCCTCCGCTTGTTCAGCCGCTGGTAGGAGTTCTTCGGCACGGAAATGGCACGTCGGCAGATGTGAGGGCGAGAACGAAAGTAGCTGAAGATCGTATCCAACTCAATGGACCTCTGGAGCGGAGACTCATCATCGAATAGGGAATCGGCTGCTTTCGGCTCTTCCTTAGATTCAGTCTTGGCTGGAATAGTCTCCTCCGGCTCCTTAATCTTTGGCTTTTGATCTTCTTCGATTGGTTTTTCCTCCACCTTAAGCTTAGCTTTCTTCTCCCTTCCCCTCTTCTTCGTTGTGATCTCCTCCGGCGGTCGCTCGAAACTGTAGTGCGCTCGGGTAGCAAGTTCCGGATTGAAGTGGGTCACTGGGGCATTCCACTGCTCCTTCTCGATGACCACTGGTTTGCCATCCGGGGAGTCACCGCCACAGAAGCACTTGTACAGCTGGTGGGTCATGCAGAAGGTGGCCAAGTTCTCAATGTCCGACAAGCGGCGCAGGCCCACAAAGCAATGCTTCAGCTGGGCCAGATCCGTGTCCTTCACCGAGCAGGGTTCGCTGAGAGCAGGAGCAGCGGCAGCGGCAGCAGCAGCAGCGGCCGCAGCAGCAGCCGCCGCGGCAGCCGCAGCAGCAGCGGCAATCTTCTTTTGCTTCTTCGACGTGGGCGAAACCACCTCTTTTTCCTCCTCCTCGTCGAACATGGTGTCGTCGAAGTCCTCGTATCGCTTGGGGGCCTTTGTGCAGCGTCGCTTCTTGTCGCCCTGCGACTCGTTGATCAGCAGCGTTTCGTTGTCGGTGAGCACCAAGGTGGAGGTGAAGTCCTTCTCCATTTTGGCCAGCCGCGCGGTGGCCTTGCGGCGCAAGTTGAAGGCGTCCTCGTTGGAAATTCCGCGGCCCTGTAAGGAAGAGAGAGTTATTAGTTATGATTTAGACATACAAAATGGTAATTAAGATAGACTCACATCTGCTGCCTCCACGCGCATCACACGACCCTGCTCGGCACCCAGGCAACGGCAATCCAGAACACACTCTGCCCTTCCGCAGTGATCCCTTACTGGCAATTCTGTACCTGATAAGCTGGCACACAGGCAGCCCAACTGGCAGTGATCCTTGGCGCAGGGCTTATTAGCTAGAGAAGCGAAATAATTATTAATCTATTTATTACTAAACAGGTAATAGGTATACCAACTCACCATCTGCATTTCTGGCTGCCGCATCAATGATGGTGGCATTCAAACGCCTGAGTTCATTGGCCAGGCGCTTCTGCTTGTTCGGCAGTCGCTTTGCCTTGCCTCCAGTTTTATCCGCATCCCTGCCAGACTCCTCCTTCGCGGGACTTACTTCCTCAGACTTGGCCGACGAAGAACCATTACCAATCGCATCGGGATCCTCGCTTATGAAACTATTCTCGCTGCAACTGATGGCCACAGTGTTGATCATGTCATTGATCATGTCTGCGCAGGCCAGAGTCTCTTCATCCGGCTGCGCAGGCAGCTTCTCCCGGAAGACGAACTCCTGCAGCTTCTCGGGCTCCTCGTTGAAGCTCGCGTCCAGGAGCTCGGATCGATCGACTACGCGCCGCACGAGTATGTGATTGCGATCGTTGAGGTAGGGAACCACGAAGGTGAAGCTCTTGCGGCGACCCGCGGGCGTTTGGGCAGCCTGCTCCTCGGCATCCTTCATGCAAGCGGGCGGCGCCTGCAGCGTGGACACACTGAACTCGGCCCATTCGCGTGTAATGTCGTGATGCGGCAGAATGTGCTGCAGATACCGCTTGGCAATCTCGTCCAGAGGTCTCCCCAGTTGAGGCATCACATCCAGCTGCACATTCGGCATGCTGACAACGGCCATGCTGCCGCCGGCGAGGAGCAAAGCGGCTGTATCATCGTCCAGAGGCCTCTGGAACGGCTTCATGGACAGCGGGCAGGGGCGGAAGATGGCGGGCAGGGGATATTGGTTGAGGATCTTGGGGTTCCTCGGCGGGCACACTCGTGTGGGAATCACCTTTAGCTCCCGGCAGATGCGGGCATCCAAGCACTGGCTGCTGCAACGCAGTTCGTTCTCCTCCTTTTGCGTTAGCCTGCTCAAGTAGGGGCTTTTCTCGCGCTTCAAGTTGTTGCCCTGGGCGCCCGGCAGACGCACCATCTCCCCGTCCACCTGGATTACCTGGAAAATAAGGAGATTATTAATAAAATTTCAAGTTAAATTCTTTTTTCGTATTTTACCCACCTGATAGTAGTAGTTGGAGTTCTCGGTGGCCACATAACTGGCTGCCTGCCAGCCCTGTCGGGTGAAGGGCATCTGGGAGTCGGGGGCCTGGAGCGTCTGCATGGCGCTGATCTTCACCTTCCGCTGGCGCTGCTTGCGCTGCAACTCCCTGTACACATTCGCCTCGTTGTTGATGATACCCATCTTGTGGTTCTTGCAGCGCTGCAGATACTGACGCCTCTCCGCCACCGTTCGCAGTCGCTGCAGTGCCTCCGGCACGGCTGGCATGTCCATCGGCGGCGGCATGCTGTGCGAGGTGACCTGACCATCGTGTCCCATCGGCTCGAGCAGCTTATCCTTGTCGTCCTGCCGCGAATCCGAGTCATTGATGTGGTGCTCGCGCATGTAGGCATCCAGCGATTCGCTGACAAAGGCGGAGTTGCCTTCGGTGGTCTTGCAGTTGACCGGGACCAGTGGCGTGAGCAGCATGCCCGGCTGGTGGACACTCTCGTCGAAGCCCACAAAGTCCTCGCTGCCCTCGTCCTCGGAGGCGCAGAATGGAGCCACGCTGGCTTCCGTTGGCATGTTGTCCTCGCGCGCAAAGTTCTTTACGCGCACCTTGCTGATGAGCATGTCCAGAAACTTGCTGCCGCCGGCCTTCTCCGACTTGTCCGTCTTCTCGGCACTGGAGAAGGCGCTCGACTGGCCGCTCTGCTCCTTGCTGGGAGTGGCTGGTGTGGGGGCATCCTCTGAGGCGTCTGCTTGCGCCGGCGACTTTGTGGGCGTTCTTTCGGCTGCCTCCTTGGAGGGAGTGATCTCCGAATCCAGTTGATCTTCATTAGCGGTCTCTTCCAGAGTCTCTGGGTGATTTTTAGGCTTCTTGGCTGGCACCTCCCCACCGGGAGTGGTGTCCTCTATGAGGGACAGGCTCCTCTTGCCCGTCTTGAGCAGCTCCAGTTGCTGCTTCATCTGCTTGGACACCTCCTCGGCAGCCAGGGGCTCGGCCACGCTGTACACCTCCGTCTCCTCGTACTCCTCGATCCTGCCCATCTTCCTGTAGTGACCCACTATGTTTCTCGACCACTGACGCACGTTCTGCAGGCGACGCTTGATCATCCGCTTGAGCCGCGGATCGAAGAGCAGGATGCGGACTCGTCGCACGATGCGGACACGATGGCTGCGTCGCCGGCGCCAGGCATAATTCCGGATGACGCAGCGAGGATTCAGGGCGTAGATTATAAACCGCTTGACATTCCACCAGTTGCGGTGCAGAAACTCGTCGGACACGGGATATTTGAGCTTCAGGTGGCGGTATTTGATCAGTTCTTTGCCTTTCAGTATGATTGGCGGCAGTTCGTAAGTCATGCTAATGGGGGATAACGAGGAAAAATCATTATTACGCATTGGAAAAACTTTAACCTCAAAAATAGGGATGACAGTTTTGAATATTTTGCGGCATTGGCAACACTGGTCGGTGAATGTACTGATCTGATCAGTCTTTACAGCAATACGATTGATATTGAAAATATGTAATAGATTTTTGCGAAAAGGACTGCAGTTTTTGGTTATTTAATACTTGTATTAAATGCCTACAAGTTGTGAGCCACACTGCTGAGAAAAAAACAGCAGATACACACAAGGGTCAAACAGTGAGCCACATTTTATAGGCTTTTAATAATAGTTAAATGATAATAAATAATAAATGTTTTACGCACTTTTGGCAAACAGACTCAGTATCACAGAAACGGTGAATTCACGAATGTTGTTGTTGTTGCCTCAGCGCCTTTTGCCGCACCCCCACACGAACAACAAAAACACGCGATGCGAAGAGCACAATCAAAACATTTCGAGACTTTTATTTCCTTTCTCGCACTAAATGCCGACTACGAGCGTTGGCCAAAACGCATTGTTGTTTAGCTTGGCAATTGTTCGGGCCACAAATTGCACTTTTATTTGGCAGTGGAAATAGAAACACAGACTGCACTGCGATCAGATCACAAAATAATCCAGATTCCGACTCAGCGTCACCGCCACATGCGTGCTGCAAGTGTGCGTGTGTGTGTGAGCCCTGGCCGCTGACCACTTTCAGGCATTTCCCAGGAACGTTGGAATGGGCTAGCGGCTGTTTGGTGTTGCTTCCGCGTGTGCGGGTGGGAGAGGGGGTGGCGCGGGGCTAGGGACACACGTGCGCCTTTCGATAACCGATAAGTGGGTTATGTAAATGGAAGGAAAAAGAGAAGGAAAGAGAACTTCGGGACGCGGAGAATGTCCTGGTTTTACCAACACTAAGGATCTGGTGGAAAAGGCTCTACCTGAACCGAAAATCGATCGTAGAAGCCTTGCAGACACGTGGTCATTATTTGATATTTACAAATGGAGATAATGAACATTATGATGAAGACTATTTTCTTCGAGACATGTCCAACACTAATATAAGGACTTTGCAATAATACAAGCCCAAAAAAAGAAGAAATTACCAAATCGATAAAATTGGACTCATTTTCCCACATTTATGACCACTAATAATAACCTTTTCTACCTCTATGCTCATAATTGACCGTACAAAATATACTAAATTTGGTATGTTTTTCCTCAACTTAAGTGCAATTCATTATATTTTCCCTTAGTAAAAATAATTTTAAAGCCAGTCTTTTGTTCTTGCGGAAAACTAATCAATAACCTCAAAATGAAAATCCAACATGGCGTCGCAATGGATACATACACAAGCGATCGCATGCGTCACTTGAAAGCACCCTCTACGCTCCGGCCCAAAATTCCCATGCCGGCAATGTCCTTTTGCGCCGCAGTTTAACCACAATTGAGGAGTACTCACCTGCAATAGAATGAGTAATAACAGCCTGGTAGTTGGTCGGCACTTGCAAGTCCGCAGACGCGTCGCAATTATCCAAAATAATTTTTACAATTAACCCACAGCTCTGGTTGACGACGCGTCGAAAAAAAGCATAGCCGAATACATACACAAATAGTGACAGACAAACACACTGCGATAAATCAAACATGGCGTCCGATAGGCAGCGCGCCAAGGGATGATGGAATGGAACGCAGGGCTGATTAGGTAGAGAAAAACCCCATGCTGATATTTTGTGGTCATAGAAAACGTGTTTTGTTTTCTTTGGCACAGCTCAAATACAAGCAAAGATAGCGAGTACGTTATTGAGGATCAATAATGGACTCTTTTCGGCGCGCACACATGGTAGCATTAAAAGTTTTCAAGCCAACGGTCGCATCGCATTTCTTTCGCGCTCTTTTTGCACCCCTGGCAACTGATTCCCGCCCAAGCAGGCTGGTCCAAAATTTCAGCTGCATTTTAGGTTATAAACACGCATGACCTAATCCCATCAAATAAATGTCACGTGTATTTTTGTTTACTTTTATTTTTGTTTTAAAGGAAAGTGTAAATCGAATAGTGTTTTGGGCAGTACTGTACCTGGAAAAAAGTGAACGATAAATTGCGACATGAAATGAAAACCACATCTGTGGAGGAAGACGTCAGCAACTGCAAAGGAAGAAAAACCTTAATTAGAATTGGTAAGCGAAAAAAACGCATTTAGTTTCTTGTGAAAATGTTCAGTAGGACCTATTGGAGTAGGATTTGTTGCGGTTAATGTGAAAATCATGCCACATAATTCAGTTAGTTCTTTTCATCATTTTCAATAGAAACTTTCAAAAAGAGCTTTTATATTTACCTTGGAAAAAATAACAACATGCTTTGCGGAACTGAAAAAGCAAAGGAAAGGTAATTGTTAGGCAGGGGTTGCATTTGTTTTAGGCAAAAACTATTATTTATTGTGGAAACTGTCAGTAGGACCTATTGGAGTAGGATTTGTTGCGGTTAATGTGAAAATCATGCCACATAATTCAGCTTTTTCTTTTCATCATGTTTTTAAGATTGAATGTTAAGTGTTTTGAATAGAATTAATTAATCATTTAAAGCAAATAATGTTAAGTCAGACTTAAGTGAACGTAAATTTTAAAGTCAGAACGAAAGTTAACTCAAGAGAAAACACTAGTTCAATATTTACCTTTGGAAAAGAACTGGGAATCCCTATTGAAGAAATCAATCATGTGTTTAGGCAATCTGAAAAATGATAGAGAAATATGTTTAGAAAAAGCGCAAAAGGTTTTGGTTCGTTTTTAATTTTGATGAATTTCAGTAAGACCAATCTCGCATTCAACAGGAGAAGTTTCAATTTCAGATAGGGGCGAAAGTTAATGCTCATCATTTAAAAAGGTATGGCATTTATTTTTCGATCTATTTTTACCTTTTTTTTGCTAAGAATTGGCATCCAGATTAATTGCATCACTTGGTCACCAATCTGTAAAATTAGAAGAAAAATCTATTAAGTATGGTACCAAAGAATTATTTCTTGTTTTTATAATGGCATTTGTTTCAGTAAGACCAATCTCGCATTCAACATGAGAAGTTTCAATTTCAGATAGGGGCGAAAGTTAATGCTCATCATAAGAAAAATACGGAATAAAAAATACAAATACTATCTTACCTTAATTCGCTAGTTCACGCAAGTAAGTTTATTGTTTCCATTCAGTCAAGCTGTAAATATTAAGGAAATTTTAATTAGTAAGGTACAAAATAGCAACAAGTGCATATAGTTTTCTTTATTTTTTCAGTAAGACCAATCTCGCATTCAACAAGAGAAGTTTCAATTTCAGATAGGGGCGAAAGTTAATGCTCATCAGAAGAAATTTTACTGAAAAAATATACTCAAATGGAAACTCACCTTGTGTTCATTTTCTTCTCCCCTCGTCTGTAGAATTTTCACAAGCTACAAAAAATAATGCAAATTAATATCAAAGTTTAGTGAAGGTTACAAAAGTTATAAATAACTCAAATGATTTCGATTGCGTTATATTTTCAGTAAGACCAATCTCGCATTCAACATAAGAAGTTTCATTTTTCAGCTAGGGGCGAAAGTTATTGCTCATCAGATAACGCAAACGAAATTAACACTTGAAGATATTTTTTAAAATGGTATTTTAAACTCACCTTGCATTTGCGTAGACCTGCCTTTCTAACTGTAAAGCTAATGAAAATGAAGACCTTGAAAAACTAACAAAAGACTTGTACAATAAAATATACAATTTATTGCATTGCGAATGTCACTTAAATGCATTAGTAATTTGTATGCACTTCTACACATATAAACACTCCTTAAACTTAACAGCTAGCAAATTTGTAGGTCTCTCTACGAAAAAAACGTAGAGTTCTCTTTAAAACCTAAACCTATAGAAACATTCGATTTCTATTCCTGAGCTTCATCTCTGTCCCTATCCTTATCCTTCTTCTTCTTCTTTTTCTTCTCCTTTTCTACTGGCTCTGCCTCCTCCTCGGCAGCTGGGGCCTCCTCATCATCGCCCTTGTGCTTCTTTTTCTTCTTCTTTTTGTCCTTGGAAGGAGTCTCCTCGGCGGCAGTGGTCGCCGCCGTTTCCTCAACGCTGGATGTGCTCAATTTGCGCTAAAGTAATAGTTTAAATCAGTAAACGAACATCGGAGGGAAATCTAGAGCTAGAAAACCTACCTTGCTGGGTTCGCTGGAGCCATTGGTGGGAGAAACCTCTTGGGGAGCTGCCGCTCCTGGCTTCTTGGCACTGTAGTCCACAAAACCAGTTAGCCACTCCTTCGGCGTGTTCTCATTGGGCCGACCAAACTTGTCCAGTTTGCCGGCGGCGATGAGAGCCTTCTTGGCCGACGCCTTGGGTCCCAATCCCCACTTGCGCGGATATGTGTCGCGCTCCATGATCACACGCTTGATCTTGGCAACCACACCATGGTCGCAGGACGACATGGTGGCTGTGGTCATGAGAGCGATGGCCAGGCAGATGGCCTCACCCTTGGTGGTGCAAATGACGATCTCCTGATCGATCTCAATGCCATCCTCGTAGCGCAGGACGCCGGGCAACATGATCTTGGCACCATAGCAAACGGCATTTACCTGGGGAAAATCGAATCAGTCAGTTGCCATCAAGATAGTATTAAGAAAGAGGGTTTGTCGACCGAATATTCTTTGTTGAGCACGCAGGAAAAGAGCGTTGCTCGACATACACACATCAGCGGCTTTGCTGTTCCCAATCATAGTCACAGGTGCCCGTGGGGATTGCAAGCACCTGCCGGCTTAATATCATGGGGTAGTCTCCGAATCAGTATCCCAACTCACCGAACTGTCCTTCATGATGATGCGCTTGTGGTTGACCAGCAGACCTTCCAGCGGCTTGATCACGCGTCGCAGCATTGACTCGTCCTTGTGGTTCTCGTACAGCCACATGGCGTCCAGAACATCGTGCATGGTCACCATGCCGTCGCGCTCCGACTGAATGCCCGAGCGGACGCGACGCAGCTCCAGCATCTGGCCACCGACGCCCAGGACGAGACCCAGATGGACGCACATGGTACGGATGTAGGAACCGGCCTCGCAACTAACCCAAAAAACACCTGAGCACGTGAGTAGGCATTGGCATTTGGAGGAGAGAAAAAGACGAGGTTTTAACATGTACAATGTGCATTTGCGTGGGTTGGCAAATACTGGCGTTTCACTGGCTTAAGCGGGCTGTGCATCCCCGCTGGACAAACGAATCCAGCAGCGACGCACCAGCTCTGGAGAAGATAAAAACGGGAACTCACCCATATTTCTGCTCTCATCGTAGTCCAACAGCTTGCTGTCGTAGACAGTACGCACTCGCAGCTGCCGCTTGACGGCGGAGATGAGGGGAGGTCGCTGGAAGAGGGCGCCGCGCAGCTTCTCCAGACCCTGACGCACCTTGGCCACCGACTCGACGGCTCCGTGGAGCTTGAAGATGGCCACGTACTCCTTGCCAGCGCTCTGCTGCGACTTGACCAGTCGGGTGGCCCTGTCGATGCAGACAATCAGGCAGCCTGTTCAAAAAAAAAAAAATCACACGCGGTCACACATTGAGGTTAGGTTTGGACGGCGGCGGGGGGAAACCACGCGTCTTCACTTACCCGTGACTTTGGGATCCAGTGTGCCCGAGTGGCCGGTCTTCTCCACCTTCAGGATCTTCTTGATCCAGGCCACCACCTCGTGGGAGCTGGGATTGGACGGCTTGTCCAGGTTGATGAAGCCCGTCTTCATGTACTCCTTGATGTCGCGGTTCAAAGGCGAGGATCCGTGGGCCAGGGGAGTGTAGTGGTTGGAGCGGATGTTCAGCTTGTCGAAGTTCTTCAGGAGCAGCGGCCATTGCGAGGTGTCCAGCTCGGCGATCTTGGAGGAGGGCTTGATCTGGAAGTTGCCCTGCTTCTGCAGCGTGCCAATGTCATCGCTGTCCACCGGCTCCTCCTTGATCTTCTTCTTTTTCTTCTCCTTGCGCACTTCTGCGGGCAGATAGTCATTTTATTTTGGAGTCCCATTTTAGTCATCACTTTTCCGACTTACCCACGTCGGCCATTTTATCTGCGTTTGTCTGGGAAAACTATTTGAAAGCGGAGAGGAACCTCCGCACGTGTTGCGCGCTGCGAGAAAATGGACGGGAAAACACGTGGAGCGCGCCGTCTATCGATACGCTTGGTGATGGCCCTCGATGGCTTAAACCGCGAGTTGCACTAAATGCAGCTATCGATATGTGCATAAAATTTGGTTCACTTTTTAGCGGCTTTCCTAATTTTATATACAAAACTGAATATTTAATAACCTGTGCTTTAAATAAAACTTAATTAATTTTTTTAAAAAATTATACTGCAATTTTTTTTAATATTTAATTTCAATAAAATAAAAATTTAAAACCAATAAACTACAATGTAGTAACAACTAAGTATATTCACACGTTGTTTTTTATTGTTAAATGAACTCTTGTAAAATAAATATTGTATTTACTTTGTTAATAAATTAAAATAAATGTAAAAGTATAGAAAATTAATTCATAGGTATCTTCTTCTAATCTAAATATTTGTTAAAATATAAGGAAAATAATCTTAAAAATTATCTTTAAAAAATTATAAAAAGTAAATTGTGCTAGGACTGAAAGAAATATTTATATATTTTACAAATGTGCATCCCTAGTATGACCATGCAACCAAAAACTCCTGTTGCTATCGATAGTTATTAGCTGTTATCACGACTGGTGGTTCGCAACCGGTTGTTTATTTTTATAGATTTTTAAATAAAAGTCCTGCAGGATCATGTCGAGACGAGGACTTCTGTTAATGGGTCAGTGCATGCCCTGCGTCAAGCAGAATGCCTCCAAGATCCGCATTCGCCGCATGGAAATGGACAAGAATCTGAATATGGTAAGCGAAACTTATGCGACTCTTTTTGCTGTAGAGATTCAACTTTGCTTTTTCCCCAGTATTTTAAAAAGGACGAGTTCTACTTCGCCCACGATCCCCAGAAGGTGTGCAAAACCGGGGATGTGGTCCTGATCCGGGAGCTCCCCGAGCGACTCACCCGCCTCATCACGCACAACGTGGAAAAGGTCGTCTATCCGCTGGGTGACATAACCGATCCCCTCACTGGAAAGAAGGTGGTCGTGGGCAAGTACCGCGAGGATATCGAGATGGCCAACCAGCTGTTCGGCAAGGCGGAGAAGGCCTTCGACTACGAGAAGGCTCCGCCACGAGGTCGCCTCGAGGGAACGAAGGACTTCACCCACGGAGAGACCTACATCAAGTACCACGAGGATGGCAAGGACCAGCCGTTCGCCGTATAGAAGACCATTGGTCGTTTATCTGTTAAGTTTCCCATTTGATTAATAGTAAAGTGCATTAATTCGTCATAGATACAGTACTGGTATTTCTTATTTTGACCCTAGGAAATTTACTAAATATTTAAATTCAGAGATTGACTGCATTTAAATATTTATTATTATAAATTCCAAATTTCCCATTAGTTTAAAAGGGGTTTATTTTAACCATATAATTGTTAGTTCTTAGACTTTTCAGAATACCATTTGCATTTCTCTTAGGTTTCCAATAGTTTGCTTTAAATTTTTTGAGATTAACGTTTTTTTAATCATTGAGCTAACTTTTTTTTAGTTTACATCAGGGACCGTAATCATTATAAGTAATATTTTAAAAATTACTTTGTAATGATTACTTATCGATTTTTAATTTTTTAAATCAAAACTAATAATTATTTTTGAGCAAAAAAAATAAAAATCACAAATAATCATTATTTTTGAGCAAAAAAAATAAAAATCACAAACAATCATTATTTTTGAGCAAAAAAAATAAAACTTAAAAATAATGATTGTTCGTGATTTTTATTTTTTTCGCTCAAAATAAAACTCACCAAGCAACAACTTTTAATCCTTTAAGGATATTGCCAATATTGTCATATGTCCTTATAAAGGGACCCTAGAGCAACAATTGACAACAACAACAACAACAACAAAACGTATTTTACCTGTGTTTGTTGCAATTATTTAATATAAGGTCAACTGTTACATACAGAGCAGCAGCAGCAGATATACACAATTACTAAAACAATGACTATAATACCATCCCGGTCCACTTTTCCCATAAACCACACATTGAAAGATAATTTTAAAAGATTTCTCTACATATTTTATTAAAATGGTCGATAATTGTTTTGCGTTTAGTAATGATTTGTTTTCTTTACGTATAAATGTATTCATTTCAACTTCCGCTCGCTGATCAACAGTTTTTTGTTTTGTTTCATTTTCGCATTTTCCTAATTTAAACGAGTTTTCCGGGTGCCAGGACGTATCCGCAACATTCAAACATGCAGTACACACACATAGCAATGCGCATATTTTTGGAGTTCAGATTTGATCCGTGCCATAAATTAAGCTGTAAACTAATCACAATCTCTTACGATCCTACAGTTGTACTGGAGTATGGGGTTCGCCAGGTGAGCGTTGTCGTCGCATAGTTTTTGCTGCAACTAAAAGAGTTGAGGAATCTCTGGAGGCGTTTGAATAGATCTGGAAAACCCACCTGCTCCAAGTCTTGGCTGGCGCGGAGCATAAAGTCCCGCAGGAAATAGCCGCGGGCGGGAAGATCCAAGGACAGACTCAGTTTGTTCATGCCCTGCTGCTTGAGGATCTTGACCCCGCTGGCGGATGGTGCCTCATCATCCTCGTTTAGCTGGGCGTTGGCACTGGGCTTGGCCTGATCCTCATCGGTGCAGATGGACCACTGCAGCGGCTTGTTGGAGCTGTCGATGGGATTATGATTATTCTATCTATATTTATACACTGAATAGCACGATTTTCTACTGTGATTTATAAAAAATTTAAACTTGGAAGCATATTTTAATATTGGATGACCAAATTATTAAAAAATAGAATTTAAAAAATTCGTAGTAAGTAATATCTTTGATAAATAGTATTGACTCAAGCAAAGCTCTACTTTAAAATATGAAAAAAAGGTTTATAATGCACTCATCACTTGGATATCATATTGATATAATGCAGTTTCTATTTTTTTTAAGTATACAGAAAAAAAAATGGTAATGGTCAATTTGATATTTTTTGAAGATAAAGTTATTCATATCATTTTGATATGAATAAAGATTATGTTAAACTTTTTTATATTATTATAAAATATCATGTTGATATGTTTGAATCTTAAATTTGATATAAACCATTTCGGCTTTTTATTGATATGAAATAAGGTAGAAATAACCCTATTTCACATCGGTTTTTTTTCTGTGTAATAACCAACGAACCTCAGGTGGAGCTCCAGGCTGCTGGCCTGCAGATAACGCGACACCGGGACCACATAGCTGACATTGAGGGAATAGCCCGAGGTGGGACAGAACTGCTCCACCTCGATGGTTTGATTGTACTGGGCGGCCAGCACGCAACTGGAGACGCTCCAGCAATCCAGCTGGAAGGGTGGCAGCACAGTCTCATCCGTCTTTGGAGCCTGATCCTGGGCAGAGGCGGCAGCCTTCACCAGGCGGTAGACGGGATCGTCCTTGGCTGCGACCAAAGCCTCCGTCTCTTGGGGAAACTTTTTGGCCAGGGCATCAGTGCTATGCGAGCTCTTGCCCAGCTGAGCCTCGAGGGAAGCCACCGTCTCATTGGCAGCAGGCTGAGCCTCTATAATGTCCGGGTCCTGATCCTGCTCCTCCGCCGACTGCAGATCGTCCTCCGCATGCTGCTCCTTCACATTGGCATCCACATTATCGGGCTGCGGCTGTGTCGCTGGCAACTCCTCGAAGCAAACGGACTGGGGAGGACATAACATAACATGACTTGGCCATTTGGTTGAGGATCACTTTAGTTTATCCTTACCTGGCAATTATCGCTGACCGACTCATCGCCATTGCACTCTGCCGGCTGTCCAACGAGCTCCGCCTTGAAGGTCTTCTGCCTGATCCAGTCCAGACTTCGCTGACTCGCCGACCGCCTCCCCAGATTGGATTCCCTTAGGCCCGGTCCCTGGTACTCGTACACCCCATAGACTCCTGTAATAGGATTATCCACGGACTCGTTGGTATTGCTCAGGTTCTGCAGGTCCAGGGCATCCGGATTGTCGCTGCTATTCCTCACCGGAAGAGCCGGTGGCGGCACATCGAGGGCCTGGGCCAGTGGACTCGGGGCGGACTCGGTGCTCACCTTGTTGGTGGTCAGTGCCTGATTGGCCGTGGGTGGCGATACCGTCTTGTAGACGTGGGTATAAACGGTGCCCGGATTGAATTTCCGAATGGGATGAGCGGCGACAGCTGGGGAATTGGAGTCATAGCCATCGGAGGCGGGACTGGCAATGGTCCCGACCACCACGATGTGCTCGTCCAGCTTTAGCTGCGACTGCTTCTGCTGGGCATCGATGTCAATGGAGTTGTTCTCAAAGTCCTGGGGCAAGGGAATGGCCTGGGGTGGCTTCTCCGTGGAGGCCACCGTGTCGTTGGGGGCGGCAGCGTTTGGAGAAGTAGATGACTTCGCGGGAACCACATGGACTGGCACGCCGGCTAGGTGCAACTTCTGACCGCCACTTTGACGCAGCACCTCCTGATTGGGAGGCCACTTGCCCTTCTTGCTGCTGATCGTCTTGTTGCTGAATCGCGGCGCCGTTGTCGTGATGACTCCGTGCTTGAGACTCTGCTGCTGCTGCTGTTGTTGCCCAGTGGATGCGGAAACCTGTGGCTTGGTCAGCACCGCCGCAAGGTCCTCCGCGTCCTCATCGGATGGCCGGAATCCCGGCGGACGGGCCGTGCTGGTGGGGTACATCCGACTTGGCCACGGTCCGTGCGTCTTGTTCTTGAAGAGTGTGTGCAGGTTGTGGAAGTAGTGCCGCTCCTCGTCGCTCAGGTGCGTCGTCCCCGTTTCCGGGCGGAAGAACCCGTTGTTGAAGATCTGGTAGCCGTCCATCTGCTGCTGCTTGTTGTGCTCCACGAAGTACAACGTGGATACCGCCGCCAGGCTTAAATGAAAGGGGAAGGAAAATATTAAATCTTCAATTATAATGTTTTATTAGGTTAGTGGATATAGTACTAAGAAATATTTTTATAATATTTATTAAATGAGTAATGATGGCCTTTGTAAGTGAAAAGTTAAGAAGAAAATTGTGAGGATCTGGGTAACATTACCATTATCCAAATTTAAAAATTTGATACAAATCTAAAATGAAAATAATATTAACAGAGAATTAAACAAAAACTTTTTGAGATATATCACTCTGAAAAGGGGGCTTTTGTAGGTTAAGTTTTTAGTCTAGCAGTGAAGATCAGGGTAATTTTATGTAAATTAATTTTTACTAATTTAAATAAAATGTTTAGGACGAAATAGTGAAGATCTGGGTAACATTACTACTACTATTATCAAAATTTAAAAATTTGATATATATCTAAAATGAAAATAATATCAACAAAGAATTAAACCATAACTTTCTAAGATATATCACTCTAAAGAGGGGGCTTTTGTAGGTTAAGTTCTTAGTCTAGCGGTGAAGATCTGGGTAATTTTATGTAAATTAATTTTTACTAGTTTTACCTATTTTTAGGCCTTTTAATGTTAATATAATATAATATAATAATTTAATAATAATATATTAATATAATATAATAATATTACTCTTAATAACACGTAGAGGGATACCATAAATAACCGAAACTACTCACCAGGCTGCCATTACAATGATCAGCAGGAAGATGACGATCTGCAGGGATCGACTGGAGCAGACCTCGTATCCGTCCCGCCGACTGCCGAAGGACTTGATGGCTCCTCGCTCGGGCAGGATGCAGCGCGGCTCCAGCAGATCCTTGGCACGCAGTTGTTGGCTGTTCTGGCCAATGTTGGCTCGTTCCAGATGCTCGATGCGCGACTCCAGCGAACCGGTCACCTTGCACAGCTCCTTGACGGCTCCGATGTTCTCCATCAGAATGCGATCCTTAAGAGATTAAAGGTTAGTAAGGGATTTCCTTAATAAATTAAAGATAAGAATATTTCACACCTTGTTGACCAGCAGGAAGTTCTCGATGACGTTTCCATTGGGCAGCACCACGCTGCCAGCCTCTTGGACTGCATCCGGAATGACCTCGCGCACCTCCTGGGCAATCACGCCGGTGTCCTCGATCTCCCGGGTGTCGCTCTCCCGCCGGAGACCCGAGTGCACGGCAAACTCGGGCATGTAGCGGTAGCGCACTATCCGGATCTTCTGGAGATTCCGTAGCTGCACGGATGTGTCCAGCTCGCCGATCTCCTGCTTGGCGCGACTGTCGCTCGGCTGGACAATGTGGCCGGACACCTTGAGGTTGCCATGGACCACCAGACTCTCGTCCGGGCGATCCGTGTTGATGCCCACGCGACCCGTGTGGAACACCGATTCCGGGGTGAGTCCGCGCTGCCAGCATAGATCCACATCGGACTCAAACTGACCCGGATTCGAGGCACGCACGATGATCTTCTCGCTGCCGTGACTCACCACCGGAAAGTTGCCCGAATGGGTGTGCACATGGAGGCCCACGACCAGCTGGAAGAATCGCTGCTCGGGATTGGGACGACCCTTCTTGCGCATGTTGTTGTTCGTCGTCTCCGAAAAGTGCAGGCGACCCACGGTGATCTTGCTGACGATGTGCTTCTGGAGATCGATGCTGTGGGAGGAAGGAGAGTTAGGATCTTCTTAAGAATGTACTTTTGATATAAATTAAAAATATTTGGATCATTTTCTAGAAGAGTGACATATCTCATGCTCTTTTGTATTAAAGATAGATTATTAAGAATCATTAAATGTCACTCTTCTTAGAAGACTCTTCCAGTAACTGAGCGATATGACGATTTTCTTGAAATTAAGATTTGACTCCTTACAAATAATTTTTTGTATTATATTCCGTTTAATGATAATTATGTTAATCTAAAATTTGTTTATACATAAACTCATTTACGTTTTTATCTTTCGTTTCTCAGTTTAGAAGTTCCTAATAAAATTCGTTGATTAACTTTTAACGATCAAGAATAAAGGGAATACCCCATATATTTTTTTCAAAAAAGAACTACTGCGAACTATTAGGACAACGAACTGGATCGTGACGTTGAGAGATGCGGAGCGGTTAAGGGGAATCACAAAAAGTTGTAATCGCGCTTATAAGAAAAATTCTATTTGAAATATCCTAATTACTATGTTAGTGCAAATAAATAAAAGAATATAAAATTATTATTAAATCACAAATTTTAGTTTTTTTATTTGAAAGCGAGTAAAGGGCATAATAAAAATAAAACAAATTTTAAAACGTTTCAAAAGAATTTACTCACGGTACGGGATAGAAGGCCTTCTTGGAGCGATCCGACTGGCTCTGCTCCACGCGGATCGTCTGGTTGGGCGCCTCGAACTTGACGCCGTAGAAATGCAAGTGGAAGGATTTGATTTTCTCGAAGCCGGACGGTGTCTTCACGAATTTGGCATCGCCCTGGAGGCGCGCATGGCAAGTAACCTGGAAGTGGTTCTTCTTCTGGCACACGTACGCGTCGTCCGAGACGCTGAAATTGAAGCCCTTGTCCGCATCCACGCGGTAGTAGATCACAGACAGCTCCTGTAGGCTCTGGTCGAACAGCTTGTGCCAGTTCTCCGGCTGGAAGCCGTTGAACCGGATGCACTGGCCGCCCGCCGGATCGCCAGCCTCGCTGCCGGAACCCGATCCCGATCCCGAGCCCGATCCGGTGGCCACTCCTCCCCCGGGCTGACCATCCAGGCTGTTATCCGCCTGGGAATTGACCGCCGACAGAGCTGGCGACACGGAGGCGGAGCAGTGGGAGGGCGCCGGAGTGGGCGTGGCCAGGGAGTGATGCGACTGACGCAGCGGACTCATCTGCAGGCCTGCATCCACCTTGGGGGCAGTCGGAAAGTCGGGACAATCCAGCTGCGTGGACATCTTGCGCTTGCGGGAAAGCGAATGCACCGGAGTCGAGGGAGCGGACACACGATTCAGGGACAACTGACTGGTGCCTATCACCTGGACACGATCGCCCAGGCCCAAGGAGGAGGTCAGCGTGCAGGTGGAGAGGTTCTGAAAGCTGCCGGATGCATACATCCCCGCACCAGCTGCTCCCCCATTATCCTGGTAGTAGAGCATCTGGTCCTGGAGGATCGCATCCTGGTACTGCTGCTCATTCAACTGATGCTGGTGCATCTGCTGCTGCTGTTGCTGTTGCTGCTGGCACAGCAGGTTGCCCGGATTTATGATGAGTCCGGATTCGTGCTTGATCCGCACATCGGCCTGCGGAGCCGTAAAATGATGTTGCTGGTGCTGCGGAGGGGAGGCATATTGACCCAGGTCCGTCTGGAGCATATTGGCCTGGTGCTGCATGGGCGGCAGACCGGGGTAGATGAGGTCCCTGCCCACCGGCATCGCCATCCCGTGAGCCTCGCCCAGCGGACTGTAGGCGGGCTGCGAATCCGGCGGACTCTCCGGCAGCTGCGGATGCACATGGGTCTGGACCTGCGTCGCCACCGGTGTACTGCCCACTCGTCCGGAGTTACTCAGTTGGGCATCTAAACCATTCATGGGCGGTGTGTGCGGCGCCTCCATGTGGGAGTGGACTCCACCTCCTCCGGCGGACAGGTGGCCATTGTGGCCTAGTTGGATGCTATCGTCGAAGGCTCCTTGCACCAGGAGATCCAGATTGTCCATTCCATCGCTATTTATGTCTTCCAGATCTTGGGGAGCTGAAAGCATCGAAATTATTAGTTAAAGTAACTTATCGCATTAGTAACAAATTATTTAAATTGCGATGTGAAAAAATAATGAAGGGGTATTTATTTAATAAATTTAAATTCCTTTTTTTTTAAGAAGTTTATTTGTTAAATATTTTAAGTCCCCAAAAAATATTTATCTATTTCGAATTTTGAATACAATAATCTTAAGCTTGCTTACTATGTTATAACTCAGTTTCTGTATTAAAAATAATTATTTAAAAGCTCAGATACTGTATTAGAATCTTCTGAAAACTGAAAACGCCTTAAGGGCTTGTAGGATCTCAGGTAACTAGGCCTGTTCTCTAGAAATATACAAATTTAATATACCCACTCCGCTGCTTTGTAATTGCTAAACATTGACATCCAATATGAAATGTAGGCAAACAATTTTTTATTATCTTTCGAAGTAGAGCAAAGTCCGGGAATGGCGAGCGACTCAGACTGCCAATAAAAATATACCATGAAAACATTTTACTTATTGAGAAATTAAATATGGCACGTTTCTGTGGGGGCGTTTACCATACCCCGAGATAATTATAGTTGAATAAAAAAAATAATTCAGATTCGGTTTGGGGGCACTGAAAACAGGGAGCAACCCGCTGATAAGCCCTGAAATTCCCGCTCTGTTTGATCGATACTTGGCCAAAATAAATTGTTGACGTGCCAAATGTAAATTGTTGTGTAATTTATGCAGTCCTGTGGCTGGGGGATTATGTTTAACAGAGCACCTTTACCATTCAGAGTCTTGGGATAGTCCATAGTTAATTGGTCGATTGTTCCCGGAATCTAAGAAGTCACGTCTGCAGAACTCCGAAACTTTGCGACTTGGCCCAATCGAATCCGAATCGCACTGTTGGCCAAGTTAGCTGACTGCCAGCATCCATGGAAACAAGATGGAGTTTCGATTTGTGAGCGAGTGAGTGAGTAACTCCCCCCGATTTCGATGCATTCTGCTGCTGGCGTTCCGTTGCATCTGAGAAAACAATTATCTAACGCACGTATGAGCGAGCATACGGTTGATGCACTCTTCACAACTCGCTGAGCAGTGAAAATGCCTCGAAAAACAACAAGTAAAAACTAATAATCAAACTATAAAACCAACTCAGATCGGCATGGTAACCAACCGAAAGCACCGATGAAAACGAAACCTAATTGCTTGGAATAAAAATGAAAATAGGAGCCCTCAAATCGGCGAAGCCCCAGCAGCAGATCATCGTTTTACAGGGTTTTAAATGGCATCTACTGTTTATGCAATTGTTCTCTGGTAAATATTTTTACAAATGCTTTCGTAGCCCTCCGCATCCCCCTGCTTAATCACTGAAAAAACTGTTTTCACAATCTCAGAACTTGGTAAGTTGTCAGATATTTGCAAATCTTTCTTATTTAGTTAGTCACTCGAACTTGAACACCCGAGAGGCCGCGCGATACGTCGGATATGGACAGGAAATATCTGAGCACTGACTGCGGCCAGCAAAATCATAACCGGAGTGCAAATATTTGGGCTTCCGTCCCCCCGAAGTCGGGTTATTGATCAAACAACCTGCTCCTTTCGTGTGCCGCACAAGTGGCATGCAAATCCCAGTCAGTCCGACTCGGAGCGAAATTGTATAGAAATATATTAAACGATTCCAGCTATCATATATCCTGATTGTCTCATTCTCGGTCTGCGCGCGTCTGTGTGGGTGTACGAGATGCAGAACCTCAGACTGACGGGTCTAGGCTAGTCGGTTCTAAATACCCTTGCTATCATTTTGGACTAGCTAAGAGAGTTTTCTAAAAAATTGGGTATGTAAAAGTCGAGGCACGCAAACATAAAATTTCTTCTCGTTTTTATTTAAACAATTGAGAAAGAAATTTTGATACATTTTGATAATTCTACATAGACAATGAATACTTTTGCGAACCGGAAACAATGGTCCGATATGTCTTCCGTCAAAATTTCAACAAAAAATAAGCCTCAATGGTTTCTTAAGCTTTTAAACAGATTCCGTGCACCAACGAAAGCTTGTAAGACCCCTGAGTAATAACGAAATTGAAATAAATATTTCTGCACTTAAAGAATGTCGATTGAAGTTATTTAAACTACACTGCCTACTGCTTCTAATGATTCTACGTATACTGCGCAGTTTTAGGATAAGAGTATTTGTAAGCCACGAAACAAGCCCCTTCCACTGTTATATCTATTTTCGGTAGCCACTTTGGTTGTCAATGACGAGGAGAGCCGGGCCAGCCTTCAACGGGGCCACTGCAAGGACCCCATTTGAATTCGAATTGGTTATCCTTGCCGAATAAACTAATATGCACCCAAACACTTGAGGTAATTGAATGGATTCGAATGGATTTGCCAGTCGATTTCGCCAGGTTTGTACTTACAGAGTTCGAAGAAATCAAGGTCCATATTCGAGTCACTTCAGAAGCATCCTGTCTACGTAGCTACAGCATCACTGGTGATCGGATCGGTCTATAAAGTATCAGAATCAGAGAGATGTGCCCATGAGTGGCCGGCCTTGCGTCTTCGTCTTTCCAGACTTTGAAGAAAATGTTGAATTATAAATAAACAAGTGATTGACCTTATCAGGCATGCATTAAGTAGAACAACCAATCTTTAGTCTTAGATTCCATTTCCCACAAAAAAGAACAAAAAACAAGAACAAAAAAAGAAATAAACAGGTTCCTGTTCATATATCTTCATTCTTGTTGCTTATACTTTTGGATAAAAGAAAGCTTATTATTTAGTTTTACACTCATAAAAATGTCTTTCTAAAATTTAGAAAAATTGTCAGCCTTTGGAAATAGAAAAAAATGTTCTTGTTTTTTGAAAATGTTTATTTGAATCTGGAAATTTTCTATATGTAAAGGTTACTTTATACTTTAAAGGACGGCAATTCAAAGGCTAGATTTCTAAATGTTAAAAATACATTTTTATGAGTGTATCCAGCGATAAGTATATTTATAGAATACAATGTCGTCACAAGTTTTAATTTTTATTTTGTATTTACACAGGAAATGGCACTTTTTAAATTCACTAGATTTGAAACTAATTTAAATTTAAGGTTCGCGTTTGAGTGCCGGAAATATATCTGACTTCTCAGAATTTTTCAGCTTTAGAGCGTTGATAAGTATTATTTCTTTGGGGATTTCCTAATTATTAAACATTTTATTTGTTAATTAGGAAAATATTTTAAAAGCAATTAAATTTTCAAAATGGCCGCTATAACTCCTAAAAAAAAGACAGTCATATGATATCTTTTCTTTTACGTCTTTTTTAATCCAAAATACATTTTAATTGCGGATAAATGATAAATTTATTTTTTTCCAGACGATGAACGAAATCCCCAAACCCTAAGAGTCAAAAAACTTTGAATTGAAAAAGTGATTAAACTTCTATGTAGTCCAAAGCACCCTGTTTCACTTTGTCTCAAATCTAACTAACAACAAAATAAGTCAGATATGGAAATAAAATTTTATTTCACATATCCCATACAACAAATTATAATCCTCGTGTAAATGTGAGTGCTTTGATTAAGAATATTTTGCACATGTGCTCATGTATGTAATGTACTCAGACTTTTGATATCTGTGATGTCTGGCATCGAAAGAACGCAAAACAGAAACAAGTGCTAGATAATTAATTCGCGATTTCAACGGAACTTTGCGACGTCTGAGCAGAAGCTTGAGCTTCATCCGCTTGTGAGCAGCAGATAAAGCGACTAAACGACACGGATTCATTTTAATCCGATGTGCAGCAGCATTTAATTTGCATTTGCATCAAAGGCAACACGTGACTCTCGACTTGCAGTGAATAAATATAACATAAATGACACTCAGTCGAGTTATTTAACATTGGAATGGCATTCCAGTACAGATAAGCCAAAATGTATGCTACAAAAGGTGTTTTGGCATACGCGGCGTATGCGCAACATGAAGGGATATCCGTAAATTGGTCTAAATACGAGCTTTTCGAGTGTTTTTTGGATTTTGTAATAATCCGTAGCCTTGATTCGGCTTTAACTCTTCCCTTATACGATGCCACCAGCTCGCAGATGACAGAAAGTGGTTTCTGAAGCCAGACTTTGCCTTCGTTGTTGAGTGACAAAGCTGTTTGTCGCAATGATTTTGATTGAATTAACGCCTTGGCTTTCATGCACATACGTATACTGTTCGTATATATTTCTCCTGGGGCTGTTTGCCCGTCGGATAAAGAACGCTTCCTCCTATAATACTATAATGAAATGCTTAAGTGATTTTATTTAGTCGGTAGTCGGCGGCAGGGCAACTATAAATAAACGCAACCAAAAACCAGACTGACGATCGTGACTCGAGTTTCACTTGAAGATGGCAGCAAAATTAAAGAAAAAAAAATATATGAAGAAAAAAAACCTGTAGTTGTCCGGCTATTGATTTGTTGTTCGCCGTTTCTATTACGGAGTCGGAAGTTGATATCTTGGGCTTTGCAGGGCGCTTGACTTCTTCTTTGGCATGGCTTTAACCTCATCCTTGAGGCTGTGTTGTTTTTTCGGGGGGCTTTGTCTGCGGCATTCGCAAAATTGGCTGGCTCATCATGCCGGGGCATTTAGCGTTTTATTAGCATTTCAATAAATCCAAAATTTAAATCAAAATCAAACCGAGTCCACACCGATACTGTACGACATCTAGCGCTCTCAAATGGCGTGCGGCGGTTCGAAAAACACGATTGCACGTAAGCAACGATGGAAATTGAGCCATAAATATGAATAAATTGTATTTTGTTTTTGTGCTAATTGCCGCTGGCATGGGATTCACTCGGCCAACAAGTCAATTATGGCCAGTACCTAACTCTTTGGGCAAAATATGTATTAGCCGAACCCATGACTTTAATTTGACCAGCTTGCCCTGCCCAAAACCCAGTTTATCGGACAGATTATCAAGATGTTTGGCAAAGGCGTCAGCAATCAAGGGAATTAGCACCGACTGCCTAACTATATGGCCAAATATCGGAGTGATCGAGCCCGAAAACATATATATATTTCACCAGATCTATAGGCTGAGTCTTCGAGATCCCTAGACGGAAGTGCGTCATATTATGAATATGACTCAAGAAGTGATAAAATAAAATACTTGTCAAATCTTGAAAAGAGTACTCGGCTACTTTTAGGATTTCATTTGAATTGCAAATTTGGCGGATGTGAGAAAAGAAAGTCGGGGCTTGGCCAGGAATGGAATATTCCATTTGTTATTGATCGCATATTTAGCATCTCTTATGGATTCGCATTCGGATTCCAGTTAAACGGATCCAACAGACCAGATACCACCCCTCCCCCGCCCATCAGCGCCAAAATAAACTATGCTAAACAGCTTTCAGAGCTTCTTCTTAGCCATCTAGATTGTTATTTATAAGTATCGCCGCGCGTTTTTGCCAGACTTTTTTTCTGATTTTTTCTCGGCTTTTACATATTATTGCCGCTACTTTGGGGATCCGGGGGCTTTATAGAGGGGGCGCTGTTTTTTCTCTCCGTTGTTTTTTTTTTTCTGTTTTCTGTTACTGTTGCTGGTGCTCGAAAACCAAACTAACCGGTTGACTTTTATGTCTTGGCCCGATGCTGTTGTGAGCGTCTTTTTGGGCTATGGGACACGTTTTTGCTGTTTGCCTTTATTTTACTTGATCTTTTTTGTGTGTTTTTGCGCTTGGCACAGGTTGAAACGAAGATGAAGTCGAAGATCGAAGTAATCTGCGGGTTCCGAGAGCATAACGATCGAACTAATGAAATGAAATGAAGACGTGCACTTGGCGACGGTAAAAACAACAAAGCCGAGGCCCACAGCAATAAAAACAAATAAATAATGCAGAAAAGCAAAAAAAAACCCCGGTTTTGCCGCATTCTTATTGTTGTTTTGACTGAATGAGAGGTGAGCTACTCGTTATTTGATTTTCCCACTTGTTTTTTTTTTTAGCTTTTTAGTGGGAGGCTGGGCCTATTGTCTCTTCACAGACAGATTCTTTACAGAAGAGTTAAAAAGATTCGGGGTTACGTATACGCCGCATTGGCTACCAACACACTTTCGCTAAATCACTCGTTTCGCACATGTTTTACTGGATTTACTATACAGAATTTGCGTAATTTCCAGTTGTTCACTTCTAGTATGGCAATTAAATATTGGTTTAAACATCACTGCGAGGGGGCGGATTTTCGGATTTGTTTGTTTTTTTGTTTCGTTAATAAAGAGATCTTTGGTTTAACTAAAGTCGTCTTTAAATTAGTCGCACACACACACTTATTTGCACACTCTCACTTACTTTGATTGTTTACGAATTTGTTGCTTTATTGTCGTTTTATAGTTAGTTTTTATGCCCGTATACTCGATGCAACTGTTAAGATCGCGCCTTACTAAAAAACTCTGCCTTTCTCCGCTTCTCTCTCGTTTCTCCAACCGCGATTTTCAAACCGCGAAGCGATATATATGGAAGGCGGCGCTCGACTACCACCGATAGCTCGCTTAGTAAAGTAAAAGCCGATCTCTGCTCGTTGAAGCGCAGCTTGAGGGTTGCCACTGCGCATGTAGATCGGTGCAGTAACGGTACCTTTTCTAAATTAATCGAAAATTTAAAAAATCCATTAAGTCAATTCTAATACTTAAACTGATAAGTTTACAAATTAAATTTAATTAATAAATTTTGTATAACTACTAAAAGCTAATAAACTGGCTCGCTTAATATACATAGAAACTTAAATATAATTATTATCTAAAGCTATTTTGTAAGCACAGATTGGATTTAAGATCGTTTAAGAAAAGTACCTAAATGCAATAATATTACGATATTATTTAATAAATATTAAAGAGAGGGAGGAATATTTTTCTTGCTTGATATCGCGTTTGTATCTTTTGTTTTGTATAAATAACACCTTATGGATATTTTTAAAGGACAAACACATATAAATTACATTTTTTTGTGATCAAGGTTAATGGTTTTCCTTAATTATATTATTTTATTAATATGATATGATTGCTTCATCTTAAGGGTATTTAAAATTTCAAGCAATTAAATCCCTGTTAAAAAATTCTACTAGGCCTATGCTTTAATCAAACAAAATTTGAAACGTACCAATGGTAGACTACCCTGTGAGATCTATGTGCTCGGCGGGACCTACTACGGCAGACAGCTTCCCGGGAGCCAAGTGGAGCGGCAACCCTGGACAAAGCACTCTCGCGGATTCTCTCGCGGCGAGAAATTGATAAATCGCAGCCAGCGTTTGTTAAGAAAAAATGTAAATTAAATTATAACTAGCGGCGGCAACAATGGGCTTAAGTAAAACCCGGCCCCTGTGCTTAGTGCACCAGCTCTCACGCAATTAGCGTACCGCCCGGTTCCCCCAGTGCGCGGTTCTCGCCGGGATCGGGCTGCTGGTCGCATCTCACCCCTCCGTACGTGGGCCTCCCCTGCTCTTGGTTTATCTCCTCTGGCGGGTGTCGCTGTAATGATATGTGCGCTGATCAGCGCTTCCAACTTAACGTCGTTTAATGGAGTTGTTGTTCTTGCTGGAAGGCCCATTTTAGGTGGCTTCGCAGATTGAATTAATCCGCTGATTTATGTAAATTACACTAATTCGTATTACTCAATTGGTTATTCAATATTCATGGTCTGGCAGGGCAAGAACGGTTTTGTTTGCCCAAATGGTCTTCTGCATATTGAATTTTCGGTTAATACTAGGCTGAAAAATGAGTCACATGATTCAGAAATTCCCAACTAGCGTAACTAATGTTCATCCCAGCCAAAGAACCGAATCTAGCGTATCTAATAGCCATTGAAATAAATACATTTCGCATTCTGTGTAACACATTGGGGATCCTATCTACACATCCTCTTTATATTTGTAAAGTTGGTTTTTGAGCTAACAATTTGAAGCAATGTAAGTACATTTAAACTTGAAACAGTGTGGTTTTATGCCACTTCGTAGGCCTTCGAGAGCTTCGTTAGCTCCACCGAATTGTTGTTGGGCCAGTTCTTGATGGCATTGAAAATGGATGACACCACTGAAAAGGATTAGAGTAATACATTAAATACATTTCTTTGGCTTAATGGTTTCTGCAACGTACTTTTCTTCTCCTCCGCTGACATAAGCATGGCCAAAATGGTGAACTCGTCATTTTTGCTGACCTCCAGGAGCACTGCTGCCGTGGTTGGCTCCTTATTTGGTACATAATAGTCCTGAACGGTGCGCAGCAAGTCGGCAAACGTATCCGAATCGAAGCCTGCTCCCAGGATCTTACACAGATTCGGCACTTCAATCGACTTCAAATACTGGTATTTCTGCGGAGCACTCAGCTCCTTCCAGGTAACGTGGAACTGGGCTGTGCCTGTGGGCGCTGGCGGCAAGGAGCGCTGAAAAAATAGAACGGGTAATACTAGCTTTGTTGTTTTGTATTTAATATATACTCACCTCCACTGGAATGGCTGCCATTTCGTTGTTTTGTGAGGTTGTCCCAACCTTTTTAGTTTGACTTGACTTGAGTTCTGCCGCCTTGACTTCTGTGCTTGTTTGTTTGGTTGTCTTTGGTGGAGAGACGGAATTCTGGACTTTGGGTGCCTCGACTGCCGCTTTTTTGGGCGGACTTGGTTCGGTTTTCCTTTCGGCTTCTGGCGTACTTATTGATTCCTTTTTGTTTTCTTTGGGGGCCTCTACGAGTGGAGCTCCTTTGGGTGGACTCTGTTTGCTTTCCTTCTCAGCAATTGGCTCGGCTTTGGGTGGACTTGGTTGCACAGGCTTCGGCTTTACATCTGACTTCTTTACCTCCTCGAACGAGCCGCAATTGCTATTGAAGATCTTGTCTATGTCCTCGTCGGAGATGCGTAATTTGTTGGTTTCATCGCCGGTGCCACGGGGAGAAACCACATCCACAATGGGTACGCGACGCATGGCCTTTTTGGAGCGCTTATAGGCCGGCTTATCGAATGGCAAAATGTCGATTAGGCCAGGACGATCAGGTGTGAAGTTAGGACCACTTTTGGTAGCTGCAAGGAAATATTACCCATAAGTTAGTAGTACTAAGATCAACATATGAATTTAACCATGTTTACCATTCTTGCGCAGACGTTCGTTGATCCTGGCCAGGCTCTTCTTGGCCTCGATGTTCTTTGGCTCGATGGCCAGCACAGTGGTGCAATCCTTGAGTGCTTCCATGTTGTTGCCCAAGGACTCGTTGGCCTGCATTCGCCGGTAATAAGCCTTCACGCAGAGTTTGTCCAGAGCAATGGCGCCCTCGCAATCCTCCACGCAGAGTTCAAAGCTGCAAGGACACAAAGGATTTAGTTAAGAAGTTTCCAGAATGTTCTAAGCAGACCTACCGATCCTGTTTCAAGTGGCACAAGGCCCTGTTTATATAGTATATGGGATCGTGGGGAAAGACGCCAATGGCCGCGGAATAGGCCACGATGGCCTTTTCGTACTCGGCCTGCTTAACATAGGTATTCCCGCGATCCTTGATGTCGTTGGCCTTCTTGTGCTGCTGGGCCAAAGGATCCATGGGCAGATCTTGCTTCTCTGTGGGCGTGCTGGCCGCCGAGGACGAGGGACTGTCCTTCTGGGACTTCTCGGACTTGCCATGGCTGCGCACCGGTAGATCCTGCGGGAAAAGTAAGGGTTTAAGTTAGATTTTACCAAGAATTTGAAGGACTTACCTTATTGGCGGCAGACGCCTTTGGCGCACTCTGGAGCTCCTTCTCCTTGTTCTTGATGTCCCGCTCCCAGGAATACAGGTCCTTCATCGAGTTCTCGTAATCCCGCGCATTCTGGCGCACCTGGCGCTGCAGTTCGAATGCCTTTTCCTGACTACTCATGCTGGTTTCTTTGTCAAAGCGAAATATTAAATGGATTTTTGTTATTTCTGTTGCTAGCGCTCAGCAAACGGTCCGGCAGCACTGACTGGCTATCGATAGTTGGGGGCTGCCGATTCACCGGGCAGAACTGCCAACCTCTTTTATTTGGGGCGAAAAAGCCCAGGAATCGAATCAGCTGTTTTGTGTTTTCATAAATTTGTTTTGGTTTTCAAGCTCAAACTTTCAAAATTATGATTACGTTTAAGCAACACAATTAATACAATACAATGCTGAGGTTGTGTCTTTCTCCGCGAGCCGGAGTTTCCGGTTCCGGTTACTATAGGCGTAAGTAAGGACTCGCTGTTTGTGGTGTTGTTATGTAAAGTAAATATTTGCCCACTGCGCAGTTTTTCCCAAGAGAAACCCAAGAAGCCGGAAACGCACTATGATGTCTTGAATATACGCAACGACTGCAGCACCCGGGAGGTTCGCAATGCCTTTGTGCAGCTCTCCAAGTTGGTAGGATCGCTCACCCTTCGGGATAACCCAAGAAATGGCTTTAAACCCGGCTTTTCTTTCAGTACCATCCGGATGTTAAGAGCAATGCTGTGAGTCCCGAGAGAACGGCCCGATTTGTTCAGATTTCCGAGGCCTACAAAACCCTTATAAAGCCACAGAGGCGGCGGGACTACGATGACAGCCTGCTGTGGCAGCCAACCCGTTCGGATCGCAGTCCCGTGGGCGAAACCGGCAATCCCGGCCAGGCGTGGGATGTGCGGCCCAACTATGATCCCAATCCGGGTCCCTACTATGGCATCCGGGGTCTCAATAGGGTCTCCAACTGGCAGGTGGCCTTGGTTCTATTGGCGCTGGGCGTTTTCGGGGCCGTTTTCGGATTCACCTCCGTCAGGTGAGTGGTTACCTTCAGGAGTTCCAACTTGTTGCCACTTAAAACCATTCCAAACAGGACCTCCTTTATACTGAGTCGCCAGATCCAGGATGAAATCTCCGCCGAGGCTAATTCCCATCATGCTGCTGTAGTAGCCGATGCCCAGAAGTACGGCAACGAGGAGCAAGTGCGTCGCATGGTGGACCGCATGTCCCGGAGCCCCTTCAACCAGTCATCCCCGGCTAAGTAGCTCCCATTAAGTTGACTCCTTTGCTTAGAGAAAATTAAACGTGAAAGCAGATAGATATTTTTGATCATTTCGTTTTGGTTCAAGGCAAAGCAAACGGCAAAGTGTTTTGCCAAAATCAAACAATTTCGTCGGCCTTCCCAAGCGATTTGCAAACTGTGCAAATAAACAGGGCGACTACTTAAGCACTCCGGCAGCATCCATCGAAGCATAATCCCAGCAATCTTACTATCAACATGAAGTCTATTATCCAAATCGGAGGCGTCTGTGTCGTGGTCCTCGTTTTCTGCTGTCTGGATTTTTCGGGGGCTGCGACGGGCACCTATACTACTAGTCCTGGCACAACTACCTCAGAAGAAAACCCCAAAAACGTTTACGTTTCCAACCTCACGTATTCGGCTGTCAGGAAGATCCGTGTGGGCACCACCACCGCCAGCAGCAGTACACGGAGCTCCAAGTCCAAGAGCAACAGGAAACTGAACGCCAAGAAGGCGCAGGCCAAGAAGGTGCAGGCCAAACGGAGTCAGGCCAAGCGCTCCAGCAATCGAAAGACCAATGCCCGCCTGGTCAGGGGTTAAATTCTTGTTATCCCATCCAATTTTAAAGACAATTGTTTATTTTGAGCTCGTTCTAAACACAAAACACTTAAGTTTACCGTCTCGCAACGGGCGAATTAAATTAGATAAATACGTAACTTGTACTGTTTGTTTATGCTACTCTGAATCGAAAGTGGAGACACTACATGGGAACCCGCCACCGAACTACAAACTAAAGAATCACATAGTACAAAATCCAAATTCAGATCGTCTACAGCTTCGTCTTTGCGGGGCCCACCTCCTTGGCCATCACCTGGATGCCGACATGCGGAGCCGCCGGCTTGAAGACCACCTCTCCCTGTGGCTTGTAATCGGCGAACGGCATGTTGAACACTTGGTGGAAGCCCAGCTTCTCCATCACCCGGGCGGAATAGTGGCTGGAGCAGAAAACATGGTACACATTGATGCCGTTCTCCCTCATGTACTCGTAGGCTCGCTCCGTCAGACGGCCGGCGATGCCCAGGCCCCGGTAGTTGGTGTCCACCGACAGGATCTTGCCGTCCAGGACCAGCTCCTCCTCAGGATAGACGTCGAAGATGCTGAACTTCTCCTCCACATAGTCCATCATCGAGAGGATCTTCTTGAATTTGGGATGATCGCAGGAATCGGCTGCCTTTTCGGCCACATCATCGGGGGACTACGTGTAAAATAATACGAGTTAGTTGTGCAAAATGTAAGTATGTGGCTTAGAATATCTTAATTACCGGACGTCTTACTAGCCCATTGAGGAATACCCCTATAATCTCGCCCTTTTTGTTCACCGCCTTATAAGAGCAGTTATCGGGCAGAGACTTCAGGGAGTATTTCTCCAGTTCCTTGCACTCTCCGAGATCCAGGAAGGTATTGAGGGGTTCATCCTGTAAGGAAAAAGTAAGGGATTTATCTTTAATCTGAGAAACAAAACTAATGGAGAATTCCAACCAATTGATCTATCAATCTAAGGATCTTTTAGCTAAACAAATTACCGTCGCAATTACGCGGCACGATCGTGGAATTGATCGGCAATTCAAATGATTAATGCACGCATTTGCTTTGGCGAGATTTTCTAATAATTTATAGAGACAGTTTGAGAATTGCGAACGGAACTCGATTTGCATATTGCCATTATCGCCGGAGGGCGGTGTTGGCCAGCGGGGCGTGGCATGCATACTAATTCGCTCGCTTTTTTATTTTATAAATATAGGTCTTGATTATCCAATGGCTCTTTGGTCTTTGGCGGGGGAACATTCTCATTGGCCAGCGGCTAGAACTAGAGCCTAGAACTACTTAGAACCTGATCAAGTCAAGATCAACCGAACCGAGTATATTGGTTTCAGATCGCCAAGAGTCGTGCGGCAAGACCAGCTGAAAGTTAGCCGTGACATGGATCAGATGGAAAGACCTCACGACAGCCGAATACTTTGCTCCGATTCTGAGTGAACCCAATCAACGATTCCCGGGGACTGGACGGGAAAAATCCCCGGGATTAGTCAACGTATTAGCTTAATTAATTCAACTTTTAGTGTGCGAATTTCGAGCTGAATTAAAGCCTAATTAAGACGATCGAAGGGGGCACGTGGTGGTGCTAATTGAAATTCTTTGGAACATTATTTAAATTCACCTTTGTGCGCCTTTCGTTTCCAATTATTTGGCAGACATAATGGAAGATATAAATTCAGAAGCCAGGTGTTCGGCTTGATTAACTCCTATGATATGCAAACCAATTCGCAAACTCAAATTCCCCCACGATTACAATACAATATAAAATGTGGGAAACGGGAATCGCATTTACCTTAAAGAAAAAAGTCTTGAGCATGGCTATCACCGCCTCCGCATCCTCGGGTTGGATCAGTTCGATGGTATAGGGGCAGTCCTTATCAACCGCTGCCTTTCCAGAAACATTTAGGGATTCCTCCATTTTCTGTGTCAGCCGGGCAATCGGATATAAGTCGTTCAGCTGCAAATGCCGGAGCAGACAAAACAAATCGTTTAGATATTATAGCTGGGTTTGGGTTTCGGTTTGGGCTTGAGGTGGAGGCAAGGCGAACGGCGGCGTATAGAAAACATTATTATTTATGGCTCTTAGATGAAAGGCATCTTAATTTGTTTTGTATATTTTGTAGCACATGGATGACGATCCGTGGCGACGCCATCCCCGTGCATTTTCATTTTCACTTCCATTTTCCGCCGACTATATTTTTCAAATTTTGTTTTCATGTACGCCACCGACAGGAGCCATAAATTATGAAAATGAATTTAAGGTCGCAGTCGTTTAATACCCTAAAAACATTTAGCGTCTGGGTATGTGAACAGGATCGTCATCATTTCGTAAGATTAGATTATTTTTCAGTTTAATATAAACATCTTAGTCTGGATTATCGCAACAGCCTTGATATGGATTGTTCATCATTATAATGACTTAATAGGCAAGATGAGGAGATAATAAAATAGAAAATTATGCACTGGGAAAAATTTGCTTATACAGCTGTTTTAAGAAATATTTGGCGTCACATACTTAATAATATTTGTTTAAGTCTTATGTCTGCTAATAATGGTTAATCACTGATAAGATTTATTTCCGAGATGTTCATATTCCCTTTTAGAATAACGAGCGTTGGGTATTTAATTTGGATCGTCAATGCATAGTCGTATATAAAATCACGTTTCATCAACTTATGCCCCCATAAATGCCAAGCACACTCGCAGACCGACCATAAAATTGATCCAGAAAATATTTGGAAAATTCGCACATGCCAAATTACAAAATTAGCTGCCTTGCCTTTGGCCTTTGAATTTTGTTTACCCCCACTTAAGAGTTATAAACCGAGACCTCTATTGTCTATTATTGGATTCCCCACTGGTATTTATAGAGCCACCCAAGTGGTGGGTGGTGTTGGTGGGTCAGGGTGATCGCAAGTGATCGCAGGTGATCTCCAGCCACACTTACCCCACATCTGGAATCGAGAATAATGCTGGATATCAGCGACTGATCCGGCAGTTTCTGCACTTCCATGTTGACTCGGTTTTGCCTTTCTGGTCTTGGGTTTTGTTTATTGCAAAATGCTTTCTTTTGTTCTACGTAGACAAACAATTTATGGTTGGCCAGACGGGGGAAGGAGTCGCTGTCGGGAAAATTTATAGCGAATTTTTCCCTTATTTCGGTTTTTTGTTGGCGCGCACGTTTTGCGATGTTTTGTTTATTTGCCTGCCGACGAACCGTTGTTTGTATTTGGCGCTGTTTGGCTTTTAATTTTACTTTGCTTTGATAAACAGTAGAGTACACAAGCACACACAATCCCTGAGACTCGGATTCGGACTCAGAATAAGATTAATGATGAATGAAACGGATTTATGGGCCGAAATCCCTTGGTCCTTTTGTTGTTCTGGGGAGTTGATTTGCCTGCGAGCAAACAATGAATGCCAGAAATCGGACCCGTTTGCACTTTATATAGCCAGCGGATCGTGGCGAGAGCATATATATATGGAATCGGTATCGGAATCGGTCTTAGCACAGAGCCCCGCACCGCCGGCTGTTTGTTCGCGACTGAGAGAAGCGAGAAGCGCTGGATAAAGCCAACCGCCGCCGGTCGATTCGAATTGCTCGGCTATATGGGTTATATAGCAGTCTATTTGCTCACATATATCTCGGCCAGAGAGACAGCAAACGTGACTGGTTTCCACTCTCTTTGGCGGAGAGACCATTCAGCCAGTTTTCAGCCGTTTCCTGGACTTTCCAAGATGGGCCTTTCCCTTCCGCCACTTCCGATATGGAGGGCGGTATGTTTGCGGTCTGCGGTCAGCGGTTCTTGACATTTTCTTCTTGCCGACTAAAACAAAAATAAATGAAACAAAAAAAAAAAAGCCTCAGGCAAACAGGTTCGAAATTAGTGCAGTGATGTTGAGAGGCTTAAATGTGCTAGCTATCAAGGTCACTTTGCCAGGTGATCAGATAAAGGAGGAGCTCTCTCTTAACCTAGTTCTTCACTAGGAAGAAAATTGTTCTAAAATTTAATTTGGGGTAATTACTATTTAACCTCGGTTATCATTTAATGATATTCAGACCTAATATTGTGCAATTTCAAAATAATTTCATCGGAAAAGATCACATTTTGAAACCATATTTATGTATTTAAAAATATTGCAACATTTTCAGAACCTAAACCTAGAACAAGGGTTAAGTTCTACGAGCTTCAAAAAATTAGTTAAATTTATTTATGAGCAAAATATACAAATTTAAATATTTTTGTGTTTTTTGCTACCAATTAAAATGTTTATTTCTCATAAAATCGAACTTGCCGAACTTGCTAATTTGTTTTAGTATTTACGAAAGTGCTATTAAAAAGTAGTAGAATAAAGTAATAAAAGTTTAGCTACTGCAGAAAATAAGAGCTTGAAGCATTTAATAATAATAGACAGAATGCATCCCATATGGCCTATGAGATATATTTAAATTATTATAAAAATATAAAGTACACACACCTCAACTATTTTCTCATTAAAGGCCACAGGGCGTATGAGTGTTGCTACAACTTGGAATGTTTCAACAGCTCTAAATGGATATTGAGTAAACAAATCGAGGGGCACACCCCCAAAACTTTTACCTGAATTAGGGCCCACACGGCGTATGCCTTCTATTCCGATCGTAAATGATATTTCTACGCCGGACTGGCCGATCGTCCCGTGCTGTTTTTGTTTACTTTCCGCTCGCAGCTGTCGCTTATTTGATTTTATTTTATTTTGGCCGTGCAAACGGGCAAAACGGAGCGCACGCCGCTGGCTCAATTAATATGCGACAAAAGAAAGAAATACAAAGCTATTGTGGAGGTCTCTCCCCGCAAAAGTCGGGGGATCTTTCCGATCGGCGGGGCATATTTACATTCTTCGTCGTCGGGCTTGTTTAATTTGGCGCGCGCTCTCTGGCCAATTATCACCCAATAGTGCGGGGGGATCGGGATCTCTACCTCTCTTTTGGTGCTCCCCACGAAAATTACGGAATTATTCCAGGCTATTAACTCCCTCGATTTCCTAGCAAAAACCCGTAGTTTATTCATGAGTATTTTGTTTATGGATTAGTCAACCGGCCCGCAATTAGCAGAAAAAAATGCAAATTGTCGCCAAA